TCCGATTGATTCCACAAAGTGATAGAGAAATGGGATATAATGGTGGACAGCCAACGATTAAGGTTCTTTTGATGGTATTTGGCAATTTCACTTGTTTAACGGTGGTCAAACTGTATTAATCAACAATTGTTAAGAGCACTCCTCGTGAGAATATAATATAATGCAGAGACGCAACATTCTTCGCCAGGCCAAAGAGCCGAGGCGATTGCAAAGGCTGTTTCTCGACGATTCGACCAGCTCCACGTTGGATGCGGTCAAATAGAATCCCGCGGATTCAAATAGGAGAAGAGGAGTAGTTAAGTGCCCAAGCGATGGGGCATTATTCCATGTGCGACTGATTTGCTCTTTATGGAACTGCTGCCAATAGATCGCGAGGAAATACTTTCTAACTCTATTTAGGAACTTGGCTTTTTAGAAGCTATCCCTTACAAGCTTCATGTGTTTACACGTAGCGTAGTTTGTGGCCTAAATTTTGTCGATATTAGAGCTTTGTTTGAATTCGAGCTTTTGCTCAAGAAACCTCGACTTATAATAATTTTTATTAGGAAGGTGTTAACTAAGCTGGCGATTCACCTGATGTTAAGTGATAACCGTCCACATCTGCAACACCCCTAGGGTCGCAGATGCGTTGCTACCTTTTAGTAACGTTCGCCCCGTTTGCCTCAATCACCAGGTGATGATGGAATTGCAGACCTGTGGCCTGTCTGGCTACGCCTACTACAGCCTCGGGGTTATATTACTTGGGCGAGTCTCCAGCTGACAATAGTCAGCCGGTTGTTGGCCATTAGCTGGGCTCAATCACCAGACGAAATGCAAAAGTATAACACCTCTGACTACTTCACGCTGACGTTGTGTATTGTCGTGGTGCTTCGCCGGATGAGCAAGATCTTGCAACAGCAGAATGCTGCGTGCACTAAGACAACTCTTGCAACAGCAGAATGCTGCGTGGCCCTTACAGTTAACCGTTGATCCAAGTTCTCGTGAAGCCAGTACGATTTGATTATGGAAAGAAAAGTTTTGTACGAAACTAGGGAGATCGATGAGTTGGTTAGACCATAAGATAGGGTTATCCGGGAGAAATCATACCAGCGATTACTAATCGGCTGGTGCTCCTCAAGGTATCACGTACGCGTGTACCACGTAATATTATAAACGAGGAAACGTTACAATTTAACGGTTACGACAATTATGACGCATTAACTCGTGCAACTCTCGATAACCTTGCACTGGCATTGTAATAACGCCTAACAGATCGATTATATTCAAGTACTATTTTCAATTAGATTCATATTAGCAAGTAGTGGAAATATATGCATAAAATCATTTGTACGTGTAATAAAATTTAAAAAATGCGTGAGTGGGGTGGAACACTCGGTTGGAACGAAGTTCCTTTCGTAGTTAATTATTAGTGATAAAGGCATTTATTACATTTCAAATTACTAAACATTTTATCCTCTGTGCCAGTACTCTTTGTTTACGAAAAAGAAATTGCAATTGCTTTCGATTTAATTACACTAGTGGTCGCTTTTGGTCGAAATTCGCCCATAATTAATTATTCATGGTAGTGCGTGTAATGTTTCGTTTATTGATTTAATGTATTTTTATCCATAGTTAAAAAAATATTAGCATTCTGCACATCTCTATATTAACTATACGTGTTCATAAATTTCATATCCTCCGTCCGCGCAATTTTCGTAAAAATGGGTGCAAAGTTTTTGCTTCACGTGTTGTTTTATTTAAATAACTTTGTGTTATAGGTAAATTTCAAAAGCTTGTTAGTAGTAGTTAGTAGGTTGGATATGGTATTTTCGTGACGGAAAAATTTTTACAATTTTTTTTCCCATCCGCCCTATCTCCACCTTGCGTTAATGACCTTTATCTCAAAATATGCCAATTGTTATTCATTTAAATAAATTATTTGTAACTCGACGTAAGGGACCATAATCTTTTTCATTCTAAAGAGATAAACAAAATTTCACTATTTACAATCATTATTTCTTAATACTTGTTTCACTTGCTAATTACATTATTCTAAATATGTGTAGTCTTGAACTATTCCGGACGTATTTTGCTGTACCAGTATTACTTTTGTCATTTCAAATTAACAGGTTGTGGTGGAAACATCTTCATTAAAAGAATAAGATTTTTTTTCAGCTTTTCTTCTTATTCACTCATAAAGCGTCCCAATAGGCTAACATCGAATTTTAACAAAGCAAGAACATAAAAGATTTATGTCATGTCACTATAATTATATCATCGTTGGCATGAGAACGATTCGTAATAAAAAATGTCCCGTTTGTAAATAGATTTGACACAAAGCTAACACAAGTGTTGACGGTGTCCTTTTCTGTTATCAGCAAAGACCAACGACATAGTCGTAACGTGGTCGACATTCAACGACACGATAGAGAGCCGTGCGCAATATGGCGTCAACGAGATGGACAAGGAGGCTTTGGGCCACAGCAAGCTATTCACGGACGGCGGTCCCGAGAAACGCAGCCAGTGGATACACCGCGTGCTGTTGAAGGACCTCAAGCATGACACGCGATATGGTAAGTTTTATTTTTTTATCAGGTCTATTCTTTTTGATCAAGTTCAGTTTAGCTTCCATGTTTCCGTTAATACCTCAATCACTGCACACGCAATGGTATAACACTTCTGCCTCGCGCTAGACTTCTGTGAGGATGTGTTTCTCCGGAATATATAAGTGCCGAGTTTATGGTAAGAAAGTATATTTGGTAGAAGCCACCGCTTACAGACACACGCGCTGTAAGAGAATATGCGATGCTGACTATTAAGATTGTGAGCTACAAGTTATCTTATGCACTAGAATAAACGCAAAAGAATATAGTTATAGTTTAGTTTCTCAATATAGTATAGTTTCTGCTAGCAAAAGAATTTAGTTATAGTTTAGTTTCTCAATGTAGTATAGTTTCTGCCAGGTTGTGCTGCGGCCATGGTCAAATGCAATGATTAAACAGAAGCAACGGCTTCGCTGTCGACAACAACACAGTAGATATTGTGATTAACATTCCAGTATACCATGTCGGCTCGGAGTACGGCTGGTCTGAAGACTTCTGGTTCAAAACCCCACCAGCCGGCGAGGACTGGGTTGTTCGCGCAGCCATCTTCGGTGATATGGGCAACAAGAATGCGCACGTGAGATACTTTTGCACAGTTTTCACTTCATCAAAGGACTAAATTTATTGATTTCTTGACTTCATCCCTTAATATTTCCTACACTTATACATATACAAAATTATGTTGGGGAAGGAAGGATAACGAGGTACCGAGGTAGATGGTTCTAAACTTGGTGTTAATCCACTTGTGTGGTCGAGATGCCTAAATGTAACCAGATCCAATACCAATACCAATATAAGCGAAGTATATAGAACTACAATAACTTGACTTCGGCCGGTTTCAATATATCTGTAGATTTGGTTACTGAATATAGAATTTGGACATAAATATTATGGAGCTAATGTCAAATATCCATCGCTAGTGACCACTTCTGTTGTTGCACGAATGGGCAGGCTCGTCCGGGGAAGTACCACCGCCTCACAGAAGACAGGTCTACTGGAAGTGTTTCGCTTTTCTGTTTCTAGTGAGTGATGTGGACGAGGTGAAATTCTTAAAAAAGTATGGTAATTCTTCTGTCACCCGGAAGGATATAGAACTATATCGACGTATGACATCCTCTTTGGTGTAACCCACAAATCAGGACTATCACCACAGCCGAAGAACATATTCTAATAATAAAAATGATTACTTCATAAGTGTACATCGTAGAAACATGAGTTTTAAATGTTGTTTGTAGCCTTTATTTACACGAAGCTTTAGTTTACAACTATTGTTACGAATTTATCGCAAGTATTTTCAATTTCCACGGGAGTTCGTGATACTGTTAAATAAAATTAAAAAAGATCGCAACGAATCCATAAAAGTAGTTTCATATAGTAATGTGAAGTGTTAGTAAGTAGACATTACATATTCTTATTCGATAACTTGGTTTTTGTGCGTTACATCAAATAATTTATAACTGAAAACTAACGTCGGTATGTCCATTGGCGACACAAATCTTGATATCTGGTGAACCGCCCGCTCGCTTGACCTCTTGTCACTTAATATAAAGTACAACGTACTATTTAAAAAAAAATCGCGGATGACACCGCGCTCTTTTATTCAGACCGCAATCTTAGAATACTAACCACTCGACTCCAAAGCGCCGCCGACCGCCTCGGCAATTGGTTCCGCAAATGGAGAATAGAAATAAATCCCGAAAAGAGTGTGGCGATTCACTTCACACGAAGTACTTACCCGTCACATCTTTATAATGGCCCACGCCAATGCAGAAAGTTGGGGCAAATATCCCTTTATGGCCAACCCCTGGGAGAAAAAGGTCAAATACTTAGGAGTCACTTTCGACTCGCGTATGTCATTTACTACGCACATTAATAACGTTCGTAATAGAGCCGCGTTCGTCTCCGGCGGAATTTAACTAACGCTAAAAGTAAAATGCCCTTAAGGCACAAATTATTATTATATAAGACCTGCGTAAGACCTATTATGTCCTACGCATGCATGATCTTCGCCCACACGCACCCTACTCGCTTGTACAAGCTGCAAATAATACAAAATAAGTTCATCCAACGGGCAACCGGTGCGCAGTGGTATCAACGCAACGTCGATCTGCACAGCGATTGCAGACTCCCGACGATTCGCGAATATTTTAAAGACCTGACCAAACGGTTCTTCGATAGAGCCGAAAATCATCCCAACCCTCTGGTGGTAAGCGCAGCAAATTACCAACCCGACACAAACGCGAACGTAAACAAGCGTCGCCCACGAAACGTCCTCATCGACCCGGTCGAGGAAGGGGACTTAGATACGCCGGACCCACCGCCGGGGGTCCCGCCGGATAACACTACACCCACAGCTAGTGTAACAACAAACACAATAGTTCGCCCTCGCATCCGAGCACGGCGAGACCAACACAACGCGTACACAAGGTACACCCTCGTTCCAGGGCGGTTCTCACCGCCCCCAGCCACCGATTAGCTAATTGCACAGTCGACGGCCATCGGGGTTTCGGTCCGAACCGCGACCTCGATGGCCCTTAGATGACACACCACACTTAAACGCACGCATGAGCGCATGCGCGGCCCTACCCACAGCGGAGGGCCCAAAATCGTGGGTTCTGGTTAGCCCACCGGTTCTGCGTCTGATGAAGCTTTAATAGTCTCGGGACTGAAAGCAAAAACATCAGTTAATACAAGATACAAGAAGAAGATTAAAAAAAAACGATTTCAAATATTGATTTTAACTTGATTTTGAGTTCTCTTACGTATGTTCGGGGTCCAACGTCCAATACCAATAAAATTAACTAAAAAAAAACTAAACTATATATAAAAATACTAAATAATTTCTAAAATCGTTTAATAAATGACCGAGTTTTGAGGTAGCGAACATTAAAAAATACAACAGAATTGGGCCCCCTTATCTAAAGTCGGTTGAAAAAAGAACTTCACACGTGCAAACATATTCGCGAACTAGCTGTTAAAAGCCGTTGATGCTCAACAGTTCTCTTTCTTTAGCCATCACCAGTCTTGTAAAATGCATCATGACATAACTCGGCTCACTTTCTAAGCTATCGACTTCGGGTTCAATTTTACACTATACAAGTATTTGTGTATACATCATCAATATGTGAATATGGATGAGGTTTTTTATGTAAAAATTCGGCAACCACCATGGTACGGTCTCGTTTAAGGGTAAAGTTTCACTGAAACAATCGGCCCCCAGTCGCTGTCGTACCTGCAAGACGAGGCGCAGAGGGGCCACTTCGACGTGGTGCTGCACGTGGGCGACTTCGCGTACGACATGCACGACGAGGGCGCCAGGGTCGGGGACCAGTTCATGCGCCAGATCCAGCCGCTGGCGGCGCACGTGCCCTACATGGCCTGCCCCGGCAACCACGAGGAGGCCTAGTCAGTACACTTCGTCTTCACTCGCGACGATAGGCAGCCCTAAGTTCCCAGTCAAGACGACAGGCAACCCTAAGCTTTCAGTTATGACAATAGGTAACCCTAAGTTCCCAATCGCGACGATAGTCAACCCTAAGTTTCCAGTTACGACAGTGGGCAACCCTAAGTTTCCAGTCTTGGCGATAGATAACCCTAAGTTTCCAGTCGCAATTATAGGCAACTCTAAGTTTCCAGTCGCGACGATAATAGGCAAGCCTCTGTTTTCAGTCGCGATGATAGGCAACCCTAAGCTTCCAATTACGACGATAAGCAACCCTTAGTTTCCAGTTACGACAATAGGTAACCCTAAGTTCCCAGTCACGGCATTAGGCAACTCTAAGTTTCTAGGTTTTCAGCTGCGACGGTACGCAATCACAGGCCCTAATGGCGTCGCTAGACAGCCCTAATTCCAATCAGTAAAGATGGTTTCCAGTCCTATTGCCTAACTATTTGCCTTAAGAAGATACTGAGTTATCAAAAAAGTTAAAAAAAAGTCAAACTACTCTGTAAAGGCGTATTCGCAATGGGTCAAACATTCTTCGTATTGTATATAAAGAATTTTGATCTGCGAGTTCCAAAATTTCGTTCCAATTTTCAATTGCATTTTTTTCTCGAATCACATGATTCTAGAATTTCTTCAAACAATTATCATCTACTAACGCTCGCGTCATAAAATAATTTATTCTCTGTAGAGCTTGCACTGCCTCAGCCGTCTTTGTCCAGCCCGTTCGCTTTAACGTTTATTCATTAGTTTATTTACTCGTTAGCTTTTACTCACCCGTTGAACGCGTCCCAACACCAGCAACTTCAGCAACTACCGCGCGCGCTTCTCGATGCCGGGCGCCCACGAGAGCCTCTACTACAGCTTCGACCTGGGGCCGGTGCACTTCGTGTCCATCTCCACGGAGCTCTACTACTTCCTGCAGTACGGGCTGAAGGTGCTCGAGGGCCAGTTCCGCTGGCTGCAGCGGGACCTCGCCGAGGCGAACAAGGAGAAGAACAGGTCCGAGCTGGGGGGGGGGGGAGCGAATGAATGAATGGATGAACGGTCCGATCGATGAGTGAAGCTTCTGCCGTCGCACGAATGGGCAGGCCGGACATCGTCCGGTTAAGTAGCACGACCTCCAATCTGAAGTGAATGTAGTAAACATACGTTTGGTCTGGTGAGGTAATCGCGGCATATTTTATCAATGTTGGCAACACATCTGTAGCCGGACAGGCGTTGTAGATATCCTTGGGCGGCAGTAATAACTTTTAAAAATGTTTGTATTTGATTCATTCAAAATAATTGAATCGCTCATTCTTAAATATAAAAGAGCCATTCGATTCATTAATTGAATGAGAATAGAGTGAATGAATTATTGTCCGGATGATTGAATGAGCAAGAATAAAGAGTAGGTTACCAGATTGAGTCAGTGAAAGAGTTTGAGTAATTTTTAAATTTGCAGTGATGGTTTGTTTTTTGAGAATAAGAATAATGCGATTTATTGAATAATGTTATCTCATACAGACTATAACAATTTAAGCCTTCATCGGAGATCATAGAGCTTAAATGGTTTAAAAATAATGATGATGACTTTATTAACAGTTCTATCTACATCTGTTAATAGCTACTCTAATGTTGGAATTTGTTATTAATATTCACTAGGAATTGTCACTGTGCTTACAATTTCTTTTACATTTCATATCCAAAACGCATGTGTGTGAACTTTTATGTTTATTTCTTTTGTGTAATATTTTGTATAACTAAAATTTCCTTTTTGTGGTTCAATTAGGATTCAATTAAGACAATATTCTTAGTTGTAATTAATGCCGACTGATTTAATTTTCTTCTGTCGCTAACAGTTCTGGGTGTGTTTCTGTTTTTTACGGCCCTGCCTACCTAACGTGAAATGAATGATAGCTCAATGCTTGTATATACATCTTACATATGTAGACATTGCATGGTGTTGACAGCTTACCGAAAATCGTTTAATGAAAAACAAAAATAGTGTTTACGAACGTTTTTGTCTATGTATAGTGCTCACATAGGAACATTTCCATTTCTTTTGAAGTTGGATTGGAGAACATAAACAAATACACAGCAAAACCAATAACAATCACAATAAATATATAAAATGATCAGACAAACTATTGTGCTATATACAAATACAGTTTTAAAAATATTAACTGAATATGTACTGTAAATGGAAGTGATTTGCGCGACGTTTATGGTAATAATCCTTTAAGAATTATTAAGTTATATACCTTCCCAATAATTATGTACTAGACTAGCTGCTGCCGCGGCTACTTTTGCGTAAAATAGGCTGAAGGCGTAAAATTCATACAGAAAGACAGATATACATAAAGATATGTATATAAATTATAGCCTGTCTTATTCTGTTGTTTAAGCTATATTATTGTAAACTTTCATTAAAATCCATTCAGTGGTATTGGCGTGAAAGAGTAACAAACATCCATCCATACATACAAACTTTGGCCTTTATAATATTAGTAAGGCAGTAACGATTAGTAAGGATGAGACAGTCAAATGTACATACATTTCGTATAAACATATAATCGACATGCCACCTAGTACCTTAATGCATTTAAATAATTGGAAAGATGAAATTGTTTTTATTCATCATGTGCATATTTATTTAAATGCGATTATACAAAATAAAGACGGCTGATTACAAATGAAATGATTTGCTGTACTCGCTTTAATTTTAAATAAACCAAATTTCTTTATTTGTTAATAAATAGGTACATAAATATTTTATTCTTGGTGACGTCACAACGTCGAGCTAACCTATTGAGTTGTATTCAACAGCATGGAAATGTCAAAAAATGTTATAATACAGTGAGTTCTAAAAACACTACAGCGTTTAAAGCGCAACGCCATCTGTTATCTTAAATGTTAAACAGTATTTATTTTAAATTTAACCGTTTAACAGTGATGTGTTCCGCTTTCATTGTGATCTAACAAGAGCACTCACATAGAAAACAGTTAAAGGTAAGTATTGAGCTATGTGTTAACAAATCTTGTCTTTCGAAACTTTGCTTTTAAGAAATGTGTCGCTTTAGACCATAACTGCTACAAGCGGAAAGCGACTTCAACTCTACTGACGGTTGAATTCAGTTTTAAAGAAATATTTTGTTTTGAATAAAAAATTAAAGATATTTGAATTTCAACTTTGCTTAAACATATGGCCAAGTGAATTTCAACCGTAGTGACAGGTACTGAAGGGTCAATTGGTCGGCAGACGCACGCGCCCCTGGATTGTGCTGTACAGCCACAGGCCCATGTACTGCAGCAACGACCACCAGCTCTGCTGGAATAACTACTTACCCAACAGGGTCGGACTACCGCTGCTCGGGCTGGGTGAGTGTCGAGTTTCAGTAGGCGAGGCCTAAAACCATTATATACTTGTGAAGTATATAATCGAGTATATAATAAAATACAAGACAAGTATATAATCAAAGCTTAAAACCATCCAGAACTGTCGCGTTCCGAGGAGGATTAGATCATGTAGGGGTATATTGAAATTGCCGACTACCCTCCGAATACGTGATTTGCGTAAATCGACTTAGTCGGATCGTTTTAATATCAAACGGTTGACGTATTTTATCGCGGTTTAACTTTCACTTTTAATACCCGAGTTTTATGATGCTTGCATCGTTCATGACATCGGGACAAAATGATACGTCAGTGAGATCGGTAACAACGTAAATTAGTTATAATTTGATTACTTGATTTGGAGGATAGTTATGAATTTGCACTGTACATTTGAAACAACCCTCCGAATGTGCGCGGCCAAAGCAGAATCTGATACTTTTCCTCCTTTTTTGAGGGTAGTCTTGAATTTGCAATAGACTTATTACTACCCGCCTATTAAAAACAGCGTTCATATATCTGAGTTAATTCGGAGGGTAGTTGCAAGCGCTGCGGCGTATCTATTTATTCGAAAGTGAAGTACGTAAGGGAAATTCGGCCAGCAGTCACGTCTTAATCGGACCACCCTCCGAAATCGAGCTGCTAGGGGAGGGTGGCCGTGGCTCAGTGGCTGAGCACGCCGTACTGGTCCCGCGTTCAGGTCGAAGCGACCGTGGGTGGTGCTGTTCGGCCACAGGCCAATGTACTGCAGCAATTCCGACGACATCGACTGCAGCTTCGAGTACACGAGGCGCGGGCTGCCGATATTTGGCGCTTACGGTGAGTTTCGCGTGCGTTTGAGGGGGGGATGTGCCTTTCGACGTGTGATTCGTTTACTTTAATTGTACGCACGACAGGTGGCAACTTGTGTAAGTGTAACGATGGTAACACAATTAATTTAAGATGCAGTCGTGTGTTTCATGTAGGTTATATATTATATAGATTGTAATTTATTTACTTTAAGTGTACGCGCGACATATGGAACCATATATAAGTGTAACATCCTAACACTATTACTTGAAGATGCAGTGATGTGTATATTATATCTTTATTGATTTATGTATGAGTATTTATTAGGTTAATCAACGTGTTCAATATAAGTGGCTGGTATGTTAAAATTATTTTACGCATTTCTTTGCCTAACTTTAGAGATGATTGATAGAAGATGACATATGACAATTTCTACTAGTACTACGTACATTTTTAGTATATTTCAAGAAAAATGTCTATTTCTGATGAATCAGCACTGAGGGTAGGGAGGTTCAAGTATCTAGTTGCAGTGGTAGGAGATCGCCAGACTAATTAGCCAAATTAAGGATTTTGTTTCGTTTAGTATTTCATTACAAAGTGGTGCATTGTAGGAAAAGTTTGGAATGAATTTGGAAGTTTTATCTTTATTTCCAACCTTAATAGTAGAAGATCCGAATCTAAATCGACCGTCACCGAGCTGATAATAGAATAAAATTTATTTCATAATAAATTTAGTATATTAGAAAATATATTAAAACTGGTTGCCTAAAAAAATTCTGGACAGAATATTTTTTTAATTTTTAAAAAAATGATTTTTCATGAAATGTTGCAACATCAACATAATAAGAAAATATTATCCTGACTTGCAATATAAAACAAAAATATTTTTTTTTTCTATTATCCAATCAGTTAAAGTAACTATACCACTATACCTGTTTACACCTGATAATCCAGTAGTTCGTCCAGGTAATTAATAGACAACCCAACGACTGCACATTGTTTATGTTTTATATTGCAATCCAGGATAATATTTTCTTATATCAGGTTTGAACTCTGGTTGGAACATATTGTATTGCGGCGAGCGCCCGGACAATGTACTATCACGGCTACTAAGCACACTGAGTTTCCAGGGTTGGAGCCCCTGCTGAAGGAATACGGGGTGGACTTGGTGATCTGGGCTCACGAGCACTCCTACGAGAGACTGTGGCCCGTCTACGACGAGAAGGTCTACAACGGCTCCCTGGAACAGCCATACACTAATCCCGGGTAGGTACTCCGCTATTATATTGCAAGTTATTATCTGTCTCTTTCTCCCTTCAATTTCCTCTTCCCCATTTTTAAATTCTTTACATAACCCCGCTATTCTATTTGAAATTCTTTCTCGGCCCCTCCCCCTCCGCCCTCCTCTTCCTCCATTTTGAATTCGCGACGTTTTGCGCTCAACTCGAATCTCTGATCTAAGCTAAGTCGAACCATTGTTCGACTTAGCTTAGATCAGAGAGGTCTAGCTGAGGAATTACCTCCCTGATATCGACAGAAAGATTGTCGATTTCCTAGAATTTAATCTCAGACGACGGTCACGATATTTAATTTTGTCGGTATAATTGTCGCTATAAACTTTCTGTGGTACTGAGTGGAAGTATTAATTTTTTTTAGTGTTGACTAAAATATGAAGTGAAAATTAATTTAATTATCGTAGTTATTTGTATTTTGAATAATTGTTATGAAAATGACTCGACAACTCTTTAACTAAGGGTTAACATGAGTTGTGTACATATAAATAACTAGCGGCCCGCCCCGGCTTCGCACGGGTATTTAACAAAATATTTAAAAGTAAAAATTATCATACACACACATAAAACCTTTCGAATATTTCTTTATTTATATTCTAGGTAATTTTTGTACACCTTGAGTAACATTATTGGAGTTTTAGTAAGGATCCCTAATTTTTTAAAAATATAATATAGCCTATGTCAAGCAGGGATAATGTAGCTTCTCAACAGTGAAAGAATTTTTCAAATCGGTTTAGTAGTTTCGGAGCCTATTCAATACATACAAACAATCAAACCTTTCCTCTTTATATAATAGTATAGATGATACGAAATATTTTCTTTTCAATCGTCACAATACTTCTGGTTTTTCGAATCATCAAACGAGGAAATACTTATGGTACAAAATTTTATCTAAACAAATTTCTTTTGTGCTATTATGCTTAATTAACTCACTAATACTGTGCTGTATGTGTTATATCGTTGCGCGCTTCGTACTAACATTGCTAAGTTCTGGGTATACAAATAGCGGATCCGTTAATTTTTCGAGTTCGATTTGTTCCCTGACTCCACCGCTTATCCGTATCAATTATTCGCAATGTGCAACTTTTTATCGGCAACTGTTAATATAATTACTTCAAGCATCTTTATTTATTTATTTATTTTATTGATTAGGAAAACAAACAGCTCTTACATGAAATAAATAGTACAGTTACACACAGATAGGTGGGCCAATAAAGTTTTCACCGCTAGCTATTTATACACTTTGCATCAGAAGTATACAATTATAATATCTTATTTTAACGGTATTTAGATTTATAAAAGAAAAATGTTAAAGATGAGAAAAAAAAAGATACAAATACAAAAACTAAAACCTAAATGTTTTGAAAAATAACATGTAAAGATTATATGTTTGTTTCCATTTTGATTGCGGCAAAACATTTTTCTATACTATCTCGAAAAATGTCAATACAATATAAGTTTTTATTATACTTACGACAAACTTACATTAAAACTGTTTTTCGTGTAGTCCGTGTTACATATATATCTATTTATATATATCCTCACGATGTACAGCGCCAAACGGGCTACAAACAGGGTTAACAATTTACAAGACTACTATAATAATAATTATTATTATATAAACTTTTACGTGTACATCTCCGTGGAAACTTCTCCGGTGGATTACTTGTGTTTGGTTGACCTGCGCTTTTTCACAGTATCTACGTAAATTATGTTTGGTAATCGTATTCGGAATAGCAAATTAATTATCGACCTATTATATTGTTATAAAAGATTCTCGCAAATAACTACCCATTCTACGAACTTCTCGCCCGAGATTTGGAACAAAGCTTAATGTAAGTATCGAAGAAATATACGGGAACGGGACGCTCTCCGTATATTTCGCAGTACAAATCATTTTCAACATATCCGAAATCTCATTTGTTTTAACTCACGCTTATTTTTATAATTGCTTTCAACTAATCGCTTCAGCTTCTCACATGAGCTCTTCAAGCGATTTACGTGTCACTTTCTTTAACCATAACCACATGTGTCATTCATGTTTTATTTGTGTGTTCCTTATTTTTGTATTGAGGTGTACAATTTTGAGAACCCACTGTCACATACACATTTGAGGGTTGCAAAGACCTTATGATCAATACAATTTAAAAAGGGTCTGTATTCATCATGAGCATTGAGCATGAGCATCATCATTCAGCTGAAAAGACTTTTAGCAAATTTGTCATTTTTTAGACTATTTATATGTTCTCTGCCTTTTCTTCGTTCCATAACCTTATATTAATTTTGAGTTATTAATTAATTTGAATTAGTCAAAAATGGTTGTATTAATAGTAACATTTAAAGGACAATGTCCATTTTTGGCTTCGCGTGAACAGAATTCTTAGATAAAAACAATTATACCAAAAAATGTCCCTGAATAAAACAAGAATATTTGTATTTTTCGGTTGTATCAATGCAAACTGATAAAAACATCCAATAATGAGTATTTATATTGATTTAGATACACAAAGTCTTGTCGACATTTTAAAATATTACCTTGCCAGTATAAAAATCTCAATCACATCTATGACTGTTCCATTTTTTAATCGATCAAAATAATATTATTATTCTTATTTATTAATTTAGATTTTATTTGCAGTAAAAATAATTTATCGAAAGTGCATAAGTCACGAAATCATGTGGCACTGCATTTTTATACATAAATATTTATAAGTAATTAAAGTTAATATTGTATTATTTTCATCAACTTCAATTGTCAATATATTTGAATAAATTATTCATTATTTTACTTGTCATTGGCATAAAGGATAACAAAATGCCAGAATCATAGAAAAAAAAAAAGTTGTTCATTGGTTACGATTTTTATGGCAACATTAGGCAATACTTTTGAGTTGTGACTGTTATTTTGACAAATGTCATTTGCTTTATTCGTAGGTATTGTGATTTGTGAATGGATGTTGTCCTGTATCAGCAAAAAAATATATTATATTTATATATTATATGAAAATAATATAACAGACAGTTAGTATAAAACAATATTTTTGCAACTGCATGGTGGTTCGTCGGACAGTGGGTTGCTGTGCCCATATAATGACTTTATTTGGTTCATGAGCTGAGCAAGGTACCAAAAGTCCTCAAATCTATATGCCCAGTTCTTAGATAACATTTTATTAACTTATCAATCTGATTAATAAAAAAATATGAAAACTAAATTCGATATTATATTTCAAAGCCTTGTTTATAAATGTTTATTAAAAAAATTAAGAAACACCTGGACACAAAACTTTATTATTATTCTAATTCCTTCTGAATAAATCTACTAATTCTACACATCGTTATTATTCTCAGTGACTGTTCACTCCAAGCCAAAACCCCCATACAAAGTGGACAGTGCCCTTTAACAATCGATAATAAATCGTTACGTGAAATTAAAAAAAATATATATTTAACTGTAAATAGAAATATCCATTCTCTAACAATTAGACATAAAATGAAATAAAATCCACTTTTACACTGGGACTAGGGAAATTTCCCTTGACAATGCTAATATAGTGTTCATCGTCCATCCAATTATCTTGCCCAAAACTGTTCGATCTGTTATCGGTTACAAGCGATGTAAAAGTGCTGAGGTGTACGTTTGTACGGGTTGCAGTGCCCCCGTGCACATAGTGACCGGCTCGGCGGGCTGTCAGGAGAGGACTGATCCATTCAAACGTGAGTAAATACACTAACGCCCGGTTTCTGAGACACTGATCATCGTAGATATCAACTAATCAGACGTCAAATGGCTTTTCAAATGTCATTTGTGTTGCCAAAGGGATGATTGAACTATTTCAATCGATCATTGTGATCATTAAGTCAGTCCGATCAATTAAGAGAGTTTCCAGAGACTCATTCAACAAATGATTTCATTGCACCAAATGTCCGTATAGCTTGCTTCGCTCGAAAAATGGGTCGGCCTGACCCGAGGAAGTGACGTGGCCCCCACAAAACTATTCTCGATGATTTGATGTCTTTTTGTGAGCTATATTTATAGTAAGTTTTGTGGTCACCGATGCTTTAATAGTCTACTAGCAGAATCATCAATTATGGTATAGTAAAGTATTGATGCTTTCGCGTTCCCCCTGAGTTCCGGGGTAGCGGAAAGACGAGCCTGAAGATTGTTTTTTGACTGCAGATTGTTTTTAGAATTCCTTAAAGTTTTTGATTGAATAAAAGTAATTATATGAATATAGAAATTTGTTAACCGCCCCTTATATATATTAACTTACATGGTATGAACAAAAGTAGATAAGACGTCGATTTTCGGATTTGAGGACGTAGACCGCTTGGTCAGTGGCTAGAGCCTCAGAATGCTAATCCGCAAGGCTCAGTTTCGAATCCTGGGAACAGGGAAACAATTTTCCGAGTTCTATCTACATACTTAAGTTTCGTCTTAAGTGCAGAAAAAAACTATATCGGACGCATATTGATACAAAGATTGACAAAAAAATATGGTAATCTTGGAAGGAACATATCCCTTTTTATTACTCAATATCAAAATTTGACTTTCGTAGCTTTATGTACGTAATAGAAAATAATAAATCCTAGATCTAGTTCTAGATCTTAATTAGTTACAATGTTGAATATCCAAATTATCAGATGCAGATAGGGCATTTGCATTTTGGCATGCTCCCAAAAGTGATCATCTTCGTTTAACGAGTAAACTAAACGCCTATCAATCATTATTTCATTGCATCGACCACATTGGCTTATGACGATTTGATGACTCCGTGGCGCAGTCGCCATGGTATCGGCTTCGGCGTCGGGGGTCGTGGGTTCGATTCCCACACGGGACAACTATTTGCGTGACCCACAGATAGTTGTTCCGCATCTGGGTGTTTGTCCGCGTGAAATTTATGTTTGTAAAACGTCCTTTCAACACAGAATAATGTCATCCCAAAGTAAGGGCAATGTTTCATTAAAAAAAAGAAAATAAAAAAGAAAGAAAGAAATAAATACTCGATTAAAAAATGCGTCTGTAACCTATTTGGTGTTTCGTGACCCCCTACAGCGAACCCGCCATCTTGGTCCGCGTTCAGGTCTACGGATTACGGCTACACCAGGTTCAGAGCCCACAACAGGACCCACCTCTACATGGAGCAGGCAGGGACCAAAAGTTTTTACATTTTCATAAGGACCTCTATAAAGTCGACAAACTTAACGAGAGATAAACATGCACACTTAAAAATGTGAACCGTTTTGCTTCCTCGGTCGAGGTACGACTGGATTTATTAAACCCGCTTGTTAGTTTGAACTTTTCTAACACTTTTGAAGTTATACTTCTTTGACGCGTTTGGAAAAACTTGACGGTATCAAAACAACTTTTTGACATTTACCTATAATTCCAAGTCATTTAATTGAACCGTTACTAATTGCAGTCAATGTCTTTTTGGTGACTGGCACAGTGGATAAGAATTTTAGTTGTTTTATTTTTTTTACGCTAAAGAAGTATAACTTCTTATGTGCGTATATAACTACACAAATCCTTTTTTTCCACTCGCGTGTCTATCCCGGAGAAAGACGGTCAGCCGTTATTTTCTCAACGCGAAATTCTAACCGTGGTAAGGAAATAACTAACCACACAACAACTAACTAACCACGCAACAGTCTGCCTTTGCATGACTGGGCAGGTCCGTCCGGGGAAGTACCGCGACCTCGCAGAAGACCGGCGTGAAGTGGAAGTGTTTAACTACCCCGTTCGTCTGGAGAGCGAGGTAGCCGGGACCCGCTTTATTAAAAGGTGACATTACCACCACTTACGGTGTTGCACCATTCACAAATTAGAGTACGCTTTATTAAAAAGTTGCATCGCAAACTCTTACGGTGTTTCAGACAATTCGCCAGTTATAATCTCGTTCGCTTGGTGTCATGTCTCTGTTTGGTGACGGTGGTCATGCTCTTTGTGGCTTCGCAGGTGGACGTGGACCTGAAGGGTGAGGTGATCGACTCCTTCTGGCTGGTGAAGGATCACCACCGTACTTACGAGGGTCTGTAGGGCCGCTGCAAACGCTCCGAATCGGCGCAATACGCTCCCAAAGTACGGAGCGGATAGTTCGACAGTTAGGAATGTGATAGTCAGGCGCGGGTTTAGAGCTACTTTTGTACATAAAACAATGTACTTTTCAATTTTATGTATATTACAAATAGTATGAAGAATAAATTGAAGGACTATCATGTCATTTAATATTATGACAAATTCTGATCTGTTTATCGTTTTACCCTTTAAAGGAAGCCGAATTCTTTGATTACTTTTTCGATTAAAATTAAATAAAAATCTAATTAATGAAATTGTTTTCAGAAGTAAACTATTAAAAAAAAATTCTTGGAGAGGGGAGAGATCTCTTTCTAGATCCGCGCTTGGTTATAGTTACCATAGGATAGGCGAAAGCAATTGTAAAATAATAGTTTTTATAAAATAATTTGTAGAACACTTATTTAGTGAAATACTGTTGTAATTTCTTTTAAAATTGTTTTAGCGAAATTACATTTCAATCGAATTTTTAAATGATTTTAAAATGGGACGTATTGATTTTATATCTTAGTTTTACGTAATTTCTTCGCCATGTATATTTTTATATAACGTATGAATAATATATTAAATGAATATACATATCATTGTCCTTTTTTTTATTCATAAAAAACGTAGTCATTAAAATACAAGCTTTTAAATTACATAGGTATATGGTACATTCAGTATCGTGAAGTGTTATACAGCGTGTCGTTACCATCGCGACAATAAATGAACACACATATAGGGGATAACTTTTTAAAGTTGTATTAAACATTTAAATTCTTTAAACATCAATATTTACAGAGTTATTAAATTTTCCAAAACAAAGAATTTTAGAACACCCTTACCTATAAAAGCGTAACGTAAAGTTCATTTGTAAAGGTCACAAAGCATATGAATGGGTTGAATGAATTGAAAAGAGACAAAACTGTTAGAAGGAGAGGCTTGTAATGCGACGCTGTGGCGCGGGTTGTATAGGATGTTACAAATTTTGTTTCTTTTTTACTTAATTAGTTTGTTTGAAAAATATTTTTTTTTAATTTGGATTTTGTTTAACGTTAATATTTTTTTATGATTATTGGCAAGTAGCGTTAGACGTGTGTTCATTTATTGTCGCGATGGTAACGACACGCTGTATAAAAATTAAGATTGTTTTTCAGCCGTGACAGTTTCAGATTCGGATGATGTCAAATGCCTTTTCTTAAAAAAAAGTAATTTCTAGTAACAGCGTGCTCATGTAAAGCAAATGGATTAGTATGTAGTACATTGAATTATTTCTTTTAACGCAAAATTATTATGAATAAGATTAAAGGAAGTCCCAATAATTGGCAGTTTTTTCTTTTTTTAAAACTACGATATTTATGATATCAAACTTGGAAACGTTAGGTCTTAAGGGACGCGGTAATGACGTAAACAGTACCTTTAGCAAACACCAACTGTTAATTCGTCACAGATAAAACAGGGATTTTTGATAATTACAAAAAAAAAAAAAAAAGGAAAAACGGGGTGTTTGTTAAAAAGGATGGAAATGGTCAGGCGAATGATCGCTTTAATAAATAGAACGTTCATCAGAGCAGAAAGAAGATATTTATAGGTGTTAAAGCTACACGTTTCAATTAAGAATGTGATTGACGTCATAGCTGTCAAATCGAAGAAGTAGGGAGAGTCAGTAAAACAGATATTTTTATAATAATATTTATTTTTAATCTGAATCTCCGAGTTCGCCGATTCCGCTCACCCTACTACTTGAACAGTTGTCATCACTGTCGTCACTCACTGTTGCTTTCCCTTATAAAATTTATTTAGAATAGAATAGTATCAATAGAATATATAAAATATTCTATTGATCGATATTTAAAAGAAAAATATTGCTCATAACATAAATTATATTATCGTCGTATCAATATTAACACGTGCTCAGCGGTGAAGGAAAACATCGTGAGGAAACCTGCATGTTTTAGAAATAATAACAAAAAAATATACATATTTCGAAGATACGTGAAGTCCACCAACAAATTCGAGACATGGTTTCTCTCCCTCTGCCAGTCGTCTCTCGTGATTGAGGCTATGGCTTCGAGGGTTAATCTTTTAATTTCGCTCTCTGATATAGTCATATTTAGGCGAAGTCATTTTGTTTTTTTTTGTTGCTCTCTGTATTTTTCTACGGCAGACCGAGGTCATTGACATTCTTACTTGAACGCACATTCTTAATTTCTTATTTGAAACGTATCATGATTACCGAAGATGTTCATTTATTATGTATATGTCGCAAATGAAAATTGCGATTATACAGGTAATTTTAGAACGAAGCACATACTTTGCCCTAATGTTAATTGAGAATTCCTTAGTTGAAAAAAAATATTGATATTTTATTTTGACAAGAAATAACCGGAAAATTATTAATTCAATCATTGTTTGTTTATCCCGTTAAGAGTGTCACCCAATTGATAAGCGGTTTAGTAAAATTATGCATTCAGCGAACAGTTTTACTGCTCGTGAATAGGTTATGTATTGAGATGGTAAGACAGGATTTTTTTGTGTCCATAAAGTTTGGAAAAATTAAAAATAATCTTTGAAAAAAAAAAACAAATGAGGCCACAAGTACGTACTAGATTCAGATTAAGAATCAAATTCTGCATATGCTCTGTTAATATGTCCGTCGTCTATAAAATAACCCTGAATACATAACGCATTGGATGGCTTCTGGCGATTGCGTGGTGTTTCTGGGATAAGCTCCGAGTTCGGTACAGCGGCTAGTACAAGCTTTGTACGCGCGAATTGTTTTACTAACGATTTTATATTATTCCAGGGCCCCTGTTCACTTGATAACCGGCTCCGCTGGCTGCCAAGAAGGGAGGGATCATTTTAAACGTAAGTAGTAAAAGTATAAACATTTGCTCAGCTCAAGTTTCGAACAGAGATCCTGAAGTCTGAATTCGCCAACACGGCTTAAAGGAGACATGTTTTATCATCTTTTTTCTTAAAGTTTCTCTTAACAATCAATCACTTAATTAATATTTTGTAAATTAAATGTAAAATTAATTTACCTATTTATATGTAAAATATGTAAATTTATTTTTTAAAATAAATATAAAGCAGGTAATATCGATAAATAAATTAAATGTGCAAAAATAAGAATATATAGTGTAAAACGTAGTAAAGTAGACGTTAGTAATAACGAAGTGGACTTTACATTGTAATGGATCTATAAATCGTAGCTAGTATATAAAATAAGGAAACTAGACTGCAAAATGGTTGATAAAATAATGATTACAACCGAAAAAACATAAAACAAGAGTAATAAAAAAACAACTATAAAACTAAAATTTGAAGTATAAAAAAATCCCCTATCTCCGATGTTAAGTGAAGAACAAGGAATTAAATTATTGCTAAAATAGATTAGTAATTCTATATTTATGGACGATAAATAATTAATTTGAAGCATTGATAGGACAGTTACAGTTTTGGTATAATCAATCTAACTACGCTACTTCGTTCTCGAGGGTTATTGTCAGAATGTTTCTAGAAAGTAAGGTTAGCAATGGATAGGTTTCTCTTTGGAATAAACACACACATGGGACAATCATTTGTTTGTCTCATAACCCCCTCCGTGTGAACCCACGAGCTCTGGCGATGAACTTATCGATTATAGCTATAGTGATGTATGCTTCTATCCACCCATTTTGCAATAGAATCTTAAACGTTTTCAGGCAACCCGAACAAGTGGTCTGCATTCAGATCGCAGGATTATGGGTACACAAGGTTCAAGACCTTCAACAGAACTCACATCAGCATTGAACAGGCACGTTTTTTTTACTTATGTATATATTTTATATTATAAAGTGCGTTTTCCCGTTTGTATAATTATAAACTATGCAAACTATATTGTCTTTCGAGTTTGTGTATTGTAATGTAAGTTAGACTAGTCGACGGAAAGTCGAGACAGACCTGTCGATATTTTATCCTTGCCTCTAATTTTACCCGGAGTATGGATCTCGGATTTCTGTTAAATTTGTGACTAAATAAGAACTTTCACAAGCATCCTTTTCCACACCTATAATATTAAAAATATCAGCACTTGTCGACATATATCAGTTTTAAAATTGACATTGAAATTTTATTGTTAGTACCCTAACGTTTAACGTGGGAAACGTTTTGGGTGTCTATAATTTTAAACGTTTTGGGTGTCTATAATTTTATGATTTCGAATATTCCTCCAAAAATCGTCATAAAAATTATCATTCTGATGTTTTAAACTAATTGCGATTAGACGAACAAAGTACGAATCTAGTTATTATTAACTGTCAATTAATAAATCGCAAGTCCATCTTATTTTCGCACTTTCCAGAAATACTCCGATTACAAGTCGCGGGTATAGCTATTTCGTGTTTGCTTGTGAGTGATTTTGTCCAAACTAAATAATACTGCACCGATGCACTTTTACCGCGATTCAAATTGACAGTGACGCCATCTTGTATTTAGTGTGTCAATTATTTTCCCCAGGTTTCGGTAGACCTGGGCGGTCAAGTGATCGACAAATTCTGGCTCATCAAGGACAGGCAGTTGAAGAACTGAAAGATTCCAGTACTGAAGTCAAACGCCGTTCATGACATCAAAAATTACATTACACGATATCAAACTTAGTAAATGAATATGTAATACGTAATAATATCGGTAAATTAATGACTATTGTTGCCAAAGATATTGTGTAATATATTTTAACACGAATTGACCTAAAACTTGTGTTCTTAAGAAGTAAAACGTCAAATAAAGTTATGGAACCGATAAACGGAATTCATTAGGTTAACCTAAGTTTAAACAGTGTTTATCTTATGTGGCGTTGTTCAGAAACCCACGAATAAACTGCCGACAAATGATACTCAGCTGGGTATGTCATTTTCGGCATTTGCGTCTTATTAATAATTGTTGTATTATTAATTAATAACTATTAATCACACAGTATAATAACCGTAAATAAAAGAAAGTTCACCCCCCCTTTAATTTTTGGCAGTGTTTTTAACTTATTATTTGTCATAAATATTCTAAACATAATATAAATAATAATCGTACATTAGGACATATATATATCCAATACACCGCCATCTAGTGGAAAATATTTAATATTACTCGTAATTTCATACAATTATTAGTATTGACGCGATATAATTTCCGCGGAAGGAAAATGAATTTTTGAGAACCGCTTTAATTTCAAGAAAAAATAGTAAAGGAACCTTTATGCTTATTGATCTACTTTCGTTGCGAATCCTCATTTTGTTTTGCACAAAACGAACATAATTTTACCATTAACTTAGTTTGCATCAACCACTCTGGGAAACTTGGTAAGAAAAAAGTTTAATAGAATGCCATCTATGAGAGCAATTGTTTCAAACACATTAACTGAATAAGCGCCTACTGGCAAATGAGGGCCGCCACCAAGGATAATACTACGCCAGGGATGTTAGTCCGTTTAATTTTACTCGCTATAAACTCAAGAGATATCCCTTTACTTCACGCTGTACGTTTGAGGTACATCCCCGCTCGAGCTGGCACATTCGTCATTTGCAGTTATTGCCATGTCACATTAAATATTGCTCTTTCACGGCCGGTTTCTGAAGCACTGATCATCGTAGATTGTTAAACTCTCATAATTGACCAGAATGACTTTCTTAAGGACCAGTACGATCAATTCAAAGACTAACCATCCTTTTGGCAACTCAAATGACATTTGAAAAGCCATTTGACAGCTGATTAGTTGACATCTACGATGAGCAGTGTTTCAGAAACCGGGCGGTATTATACTAGATGTTACAGAATCGTAGAGGAGAGATCTCGTCCATTATGATTATTCAGTTGATTCATCTTTTTAATACATTTGAAATAAAAAAAAAAACTAGAATTTATATAAAACTGTTTAATTCGATCACAACGTAAATATGCTTAAAATAGAAACAGCATCGAAAAAAAAAAAGGTAAGCGATATTCTTATGCTAAGTTAAAGTTAAATATCACCAAATGCATTGCGATAACCGATTTGTACTAAAGTTGAGCTAGCAAGCTAAAGCTCGGCGTCAAACGTCCGATACTTAAATAAGGCACATCGATCCACTATTAGTCACTTGATTGGAATTAAACCTTACTAAGTAAAGTTTACTTACATAATAACACAGGTATGAGCAGTCTCTAATGTATCTTTAATTAATTCGGCGAATAAACCATGCGTATGAAAGATCTGAGTAGAACTTTGTTTTCAAAATGTTACTGTACAATGTTGATGATTTGAACCCACTACAGCTACACAGACGATCAACGCAGCCCTAAACTCATTTCACCTTCGCTCCTGCTGAATCCGGTTTTCCTGTCGACCTGACCTAGACTTATTTCCCCTTCACTCCTCAGCGGTAGCACTACACTGGAGTCGGAACTGCATTTAGAAGTAGACGTGCTCGATTCGGACACTGTTAGTATTTTATTCCGCCTCGGCCGCCTCCTCAGTCTGTCGTTTATCTCGCCGAAGCTACTGACGTCGGAAGAGTAGTCGGCGTCGGCAGAACTGGAGCTGGTGAACGTTTTCAAGGGCAGTGGGGTCCTGAATGGTTTGCGATCTCTCGACGTGGCGGCGTCGAGATTGGATATGACATCGCGCGAGTCCTTCGGCAAGCGTAAGCTGAAACGCGGCGACGATAGATTTATCGACGCTGCCAGGTCGTCGACTGTTCCCAGCGCGATGTGCGTTTCTTCGCTCGGCGCAAATGCCACGGGGCTGGTTTGGTGGTCGACGGTGAGGGGACCCAACGGTGACGTCGTCCTGGTCTTGGTCTTCGTCGGCGAAGTCATCACGCCTCTCACATGCGCGGGGGACGTTTGAGTGTTCTTCTGCGAGGCCGTGGAGTTTCTCTTCTCGCTGGTTTCCTTGGTCTTCGCGATATTCTTCTGTAAGATACCGGTGCACTCGTCAATGATAAGCTTCTTGATGAACTCCTCGTTGATTTTGTCGACGTCACTCGTTGGATTTGTCGACGCGTGGGCCTCAAGCCACAGGTCGTTCCGTATTGGCACGTTTCTGGGCGAGGTCTGCGTCGATTTGGGCGTTATTTTGCCGGAGCAGTTGCTCTGCGTCGATTTGGGCGTTATTTTGCCGGAGCAGTTGCTCTGCGTCGCGTTGTCCTGGGTGTTGATCGAGTGGATGAACTCGAAGATGTCCACGCGGCTTTTGAACGATAGGTTCGGGGATTTCGTGTATGTGGCGTCTTTTATACCAGATTCGATGTGAATGACGGTACCATCTTTTGTCGTCACATTACGGTTGGGATGTGCCTCGTCTGATTGCGTTTTGTCGTTGTCCGATCTCTCCTCCTCGAAATCGTCGGCGTAACTCCTCCCGCTTTGGTTACTTTCGCTTGAGACGGCCGAAATTACTTTATCCTTACCATTTAAGTTTTTGTTCAGTGTCGTGGTGATGTTTCTCTCGATATCCAGCACCTCCTCCAACAGATTTTCATCAGACGTGGTTAGAATATTTTTATTGGCGTTATCTTTTTTAGGTGCGCTATCGTGAAAGGAGTTTTCGCGGCTTATTAAAATTTTGTCTAGAATGGGGCTCAATGGAACGTTTTTATCGGTTAGGTCGGATATTTCCCTCTCGATATCGCTTACATTGACGCCACCTAATGTGAGTTTCGAATACGGGATGTATTCTGCGTTGTTCAGCAACGTCTGGGATTTGTTCCTGCTTGATGTGGGCACTGGATCAGATTTTGTCGAAACTCTGGAAGCTGGTTGTGAACGTGCATAAATATTTCTCGATGTAGATAGACGGCCATAAATAGTGTTAATCTTTCTTCTCCAGTCATCAATGTTGCTGTTTTGTTTCTTGTCTAATTTCGATCTGTTATTGCTTTCCTTGTATTTCTCAAATCGGGCCGACGCTTTGGGGATAGATTTAACATGGGCTTTGATTAGATTTCTACTTTTCATCCTAGTCTTAGACGTTACATTGTCGGTCGATTCACTGCTATCGCACGTAAGCATTTTGGACACTCTCCTGAAAGCGGGTTTTGGGGAAGCGGTGGGGACGTATCGTATCTCCGGATATTTAGATATAGTTTTCTCGACTGCTGGGGTCGGTTCGTGCTGTATTGCGATGACTGCAACGTTGCTCTGCGTCGGCAATTTTTCCGTATCTGTCTTCTGCTCCGGTATAATGTCTAGCTGCAGAACTTTCTGCTCTTTCAACTCGCCCCTGATATTGATGCTCGGCATCGCCTGTACGTTCAGCGGTTTCGATCGAACGTCTTTAACTTTTGTCTCCTCGTGTTTGTACGAGTATTCGTTGTAAACGAAAGGTTTCCTCGGATCGGGCCTCTCGCTCTCAACACGGGGCTCGTCGATTTGTACGATTCTCGTGCGGGACATCGACAGACTCTTAGTCGCTTTCTTGGCGGCTGGCGTTCGATTCACCTGTACCGACGCGTTGGCGGTCGCAGATGGCTTCGTTGGTCTCGCGTTCACTTCCCTGATATCTTCAGTCCTCGTGTGCGGCGGTCTGACGATCCTGCACCCGTGGAACTTGGCGTCCACGATCTCCTCCACGTGGAGCCTCTCGTTGAACTCCTGGTCCAGGGTGGGCGTGGCTCCGAACCGCACCCTCGGCTCCCGCTTCAGCTCCCCCGAGATCAGCCTGAGCTCGTCCGCGGTCGATTGCAGCATCTCGCGTAGTGTCCTCAGCACGGCCTCGTCCTCCGGCCGTATGGCCGGCTCCGATTTCCACGTCTCGTCGTCGATGTTGACCATTTCAATCCTGTTGCTGCTCTCGACCTGTGTTGGAAAAAACAAATACAAAAGTGTTTATAATTCGAGTGCCATTTATTTCTTTGATTCACAATTTTCAAAACATTACAATAGATGCAAGAAGTTTCGTAAATTTAGAAGAAATTCTCATCGACAAAAACTCGTGCCCTGAAAGATGTTTATTTCAAAGTTGTCACCGTTTTCATAGCTATGTATTTTTTAATTATTGCTTCTTTCCCTAAAGCGGAAAACCAAGGTTTTAGCAGTTTCTATCCGTTTCAATATTTTACGGTGCCTTCCTATAAGTTTATAGCATGAAGAATATGACACAAAAATCCTTACTGACCAAGTATCGATCGACTGGGTAATGCGGTGTCCCGGACTTCATCTGTTGGTGAGGCAAAGCGGCTCTGGCATCCTCTCCCCGGTTGGCCGATCTGTTGGCAACACGAAAAAAATCCCTTTCAACTCATAATCTCAGCTACGCAATAGTTTTGATGAAACTAATCGTGTGACTATGAATCGTGTGTGTGTGGTTTTAGATATATTTTTATACTCGTTGAACCATGCGAGTTTCACGTTTGCAAAGTTTAAAACAGCTTTAGTGATATTTCGCCCTCTGTTGTTTTAGAATTTTTGTTAAATGTTAAACGGTATTCAGGAGCTCTCATATGCAAGTTTGTATTATTGTTAGCTTAGTTCAAGTCTGCCAGGGGCCAGAGGTGTTTGAAATAAAATGACCATGTTACAAAATCACATCAATTGTATTTCACCAACATTTACATGAACGTCTTAATCGAAGCATTTCACTTGCTGCTTACAGTAAGAAAGATACAAGTCTCAAAATTATCTTTTGCGTCGGTGTCATACCGACAACTACAAACAAGCCTATGGGTACAGGCGGACTATAAAGACTTGAGGTGACAAATACGCGTATGACACGTATGTTGCGTTCCAGGAAAAGAACATCTCAATACACTTCATATATACATTACACACAACAGGCCTTAGAGTTACCGAGAGTTAGTCCCATATGGAACCCATAAATATTATGGCAACACACATTTCCTCCCACTCTGCGGCCCGCGAAACATTAATGTAGAAATTATACAGAAAATTACGAGATTCAACGTATGGACCTGGTAAACTATTAATAACGCTAATTACATACAAATTGTTGTGACTAAATCATCAATAGCGAACTACGTTAAGATTAAAATATTCACAAATCGCAGATTCGGGTGGCACAAGATATTTCACTGTTACATCGTTTGTTTATCAAATAAAATCCGCTTGTTGTCTGTATTAATACGATACGATACAATGGTTAATATTAATCAATTACAATCTAGACTACAGCGATTCGCTTTCTATTATACAGTACTGACACTCATCAGAGGAGAATAAATATTTACAAGATACATATTTCACAGAGGAAAGGACACACATAATAGGTATATTTATTTAAGAAAGTTTTCGCTTACAATCCGGCATTAAAAATACAGTTTAACATATAGCATAGTTATTTCACGCGTATTTGTCACCTCAAATGCGGACGCACTCTGTTTGTGCTAAGTAACGTTTACCATCAGTGTTCGACGGGCCCCTCTTGGGCGTTTCGCTGATAATACTAATAGATCAATTTCGAATCTATCAGAATAGACGACTTCGATACGCGTCATAAGCACAATCGCGTTTGAATCAATTTCAAAACCTACGTATGAACGTTGGAAACACACGACAAATATAAAATTAAAAACCTCATAAGCGAAAAATCCGAGTGATGTTTCCTCTTGTAGACGTTTGAAACAACAAAAGAAGTAAAAATGGAAAAAAAGAAGAGAGAATTTGTAATACAACGACAGAAACCTATAAACAACTAAAAAGGCTCACAGTTCTTAGTAATACTGAAGGTGCAGCCTTCATGTTCGTAGTGGCTATCCCACTTCGATATTTACAAGTAGACAAATTATGTACAGAGTGCGTTTATGTACACGAAAAATTACTTCGAAATAAATAAATAGACATGTCAATTTTATTGAACATATACACGGCCTCCGCACGTGGGCCAACATTATCAGAATCGCTAACGAAGAATATTTGCAAGTCATAAAAAGACAATCCAAGCATCGGACGCCTAAAAACATTTGAGTATACAAGAAATCGTTTGCGTCCTCGGCTAAAAGCATTTTCAATAAAGAAATCAAGAGAGGAAGACACGCCAATGCTTCCGTCATTTTCGTTAAAACCGCAACTTGCTACTAGTCGTAGATACAATAGAAGACCGTATTATCTTAAAAATCGAAGTAAACATCTCCGTAACCTCTTCCGTCACAAGAATCAATTCCTAGAGAGAAGTAGGCCTTTAATCAAAGCAAAAAATAAAGGCACAGTTGGGAGATGAAAAACGATAAACGTAGTAACTTGATCACAAATTAAAATTTCAAATGTTTCAGAAGATATTCAACGTGTTCTCAATCGTAATGTTTAATGTTTTTTCTTCTACTTCAAAGTATAAATTATCCACACATCCATTAACCACAATAATAATCTGCACAAGTGTTTTCCTTTCGTTCAAATGCATCCCCACGAGTCTTGCCAGAATGCTAAACAATAGAAAATTTCACGTCTTCGAAATAACAATTTCTTAAACCACCGCAGAGGGCACGAAATGTCGCAACAGACACACCGGCACCGCAATGGCCGACCGCCTGATAGCCTTCGAAATTGACACTACCGACTGTCCAACATTACGAGATACATAATGACAATAGTACAACGATAATTACCTCCGATATATACAAATATAGCAGCGAGTTTTAAGAGTTCCTATAACGGCCGCGTCGCTCGCGGATCTTAACGTACGACACTCACAAAATGACTAGGCACGCGCCGGAATCGACCTCCGACATGACCGCTTCGGAGATCGCGAATGAACGGAACTCGAGCCACTCTGAAAATGGCGAACGAATAGAAAAAGTTGCGCCAAGTCCGCACCGGACCGAGCGGTGTCATGATCGTACACGGCATAATACCAGTACAGTGTATAAGGATCGCAAATAAATAAATGCCAAGTTCACTATGGTACGGGACCTAAGGGTAACTGAGGAGATGGCATCCGAGGAGGGCGCGGACGCGATTAACACCCCCGATCGTGTAAAACCTTCCAAAACGGATATGTACTATATTCAGTATATTGCATACATAGGGCGCGAGACGCCGATACGACGGCACAAGTGACATATCCACTACGCTGAATACGATTCATTCCGGGTCGTCACGATGTCGGCGAGCGCCTAGACTAAGTCGAATATTTACAGAGCTATATACACTTGGGTCGCTCCGGCCGGGGCCGAGCTCGAGGGGCCGAGGGGCCGCGGCTCAGGGCCCGGGGCCGGCGCTCAGGGGCCGAGGGGCTCGGACCCCTCTCCTCCCGCTGCTCACAGCGCGAGGGACAAGAGGTAGAGGCGCAGCGAGGCCGCGCGGCCCTAGGTCTCCCGCTCCTTCTTCGGCTTGAACTCCTCGCCCAGTATCGTCGCGATCTCGCCCTGCATGAACGCCCACGGCACCGTGCTGTTCGCCAGCGGGCACTTCTCGCCGCTCGGGCAGTACACCTGCAAGTCGAACGGTCCCACGTCAGCGCGTAGCCCAATCAGCGAGCGGAAACATCTAGGAATCGACGCGACACGAGCGAGTCTCTCACGTGCGCAGCCACAAATCGCACACAGCGCACTGTCGTGACTTCGTGAGCGTGGCGATAGCGCAACGGTGTACAACAAACAGGGCGTCGCAACGAGACTCGATCGCGGGGGGTCGGGGGAGGGGAGGGGGAGGGGGCTCTGCGGGGTACTGACCTCGGAGCCCTGCTGCCGCTTGATGGAGTCGCGGGAGCAGGGGAAGCAGAACTTGTGGTGCGGCTGGCTGGGGCACTGCACGAAGTGCGTGTCCTCGAGCCGCTCCTGGCAGAGGGTGCACTTGAGCAGGGGCGCGGCTGGCTCGGCGTCCGCCGCCTCGCTCGACGACACCGACGTGGTGGAGGACACGTGCCGCGAGCCCGACGACCGGCGCCCGCCGTTCGAGCCTGCACCGAAACGAGCCACCGTCACGCAACGCCCCGCAACGGCCCGCGACGGCGCCCGCGCACTCCCCGACGGCACCACCACCACCACCACGACCACACTGACCACCGCGACCACCACGACCACAACGGCTCGACTCTGCGCAGCGCAGCCTCGACGCCTCGACGCATGCACTCGAGCCTTCACGTTTTATACGAGGCGTGTGGCGTTTTTTTTCTTTCTCATCGTTTCTTTAGCGGCCGCGACGCGTCCTTGGAGCGGTCGGCTATAACCGAAGACAATTGCCGGATAACGAACATCGCCGAGCTCGGTTGTCAGAAACGGAAACGGTCGCGTGGGTGAGGCTCAACGATGAATCCGGTGCGAGGCGTTGCGATTAAGTGCAGGGGTGGCCAACTTTTGTGTACATATTTTTTTTTATATGGGAAGATGGCAAGCGAGCTAGCGATTCACCCGATGTTAAGTGATAACCGCCGCCCATGGACGTCTGCAACACCCGTAGGGTTGCCGATGCGTTCCCACCTTGTAATAAAGTAATTTAGTTTGTGTTATAAAAATGTGTCGATTTGTTGTCACAACCATAGCCTTATTAGGGAAGGGAGAGGTTTAACATACAATAATGTGTTTCATCACGAGGTGTATTCTTGTTATTATGTATATCACAAATGAGGCCTCAACTTTGTTTACTCAGTTTATTGCTTTCGACTTAAATCAATAAAGAGTCGAACAGTCGATTGCGAACGACGCGTTGGCCACCTCTTGCTAGTGTAAAAACTGTCTTTTTGAGGTTTTCTAAATGTTACGTGGCTTATCATGATGGTTAGGTTAGGTAGAAGTTTATAAGTTTTAGCAAGTGTGATTTTTAAAAATAACTCCAATGTTTTTCTTCATGTATACAGTTTTTCTATCATCATTTATATCTCGTAGCTTATCACGAAAAGCTTTCTCTTAAAGAGCTCCGATAAGATTATAGCATCCATAAATAAATTCAATTTTGATATAAAGTCCGTAATTCATGTGGTATTATCTGAGAGCTAAAATTTGTGTACACTAGCCGAATTGCAATAGCGTATTCTAGTGTAATTTTTTTTTGTATGAATTTGTATGAATCTGACCAAATCGAGGTTGAATATATGGAGTAGAGGGACCATTGGCTGGTTTAGAGCGGAAATTGTAACAGTGTAAAGAAAGTCACCTGAGGAGTTTGGCGAATGCTGGCTGGAGCGGCTGTTGGAGCGCTGGGGCGGGGGCTGCGGCGGGGATCCCCCTGCGGATCTAGGGCTGCCGGGCGGCAGGGTGTCCGTGACGGACATAAGGGCCGCCATGGGCGAAGGCCCGCCGGCCGGGGGCGAAGCCGCCGCCCGCCCCAGGGGCGAACCGCCAGCGCCGTTGCTGAGGGTAGCCCCACTCGCGCCACCAACTCCGACGCCGCCCACGCTGCTGGTGTACCCTGAAACACCTTTCGAATTCACTACACGCGTACAGTTGGACCTAAATTATCGATAGATAAAATTTGTGCTTTAAAAGTCCATATGACGAGGTCTTTGCCCCCTCCCACATCATTTCACCAACGAAGCACGATTCAGCCAAACTTATCCATACACAATTAGCGTTTCAAAAATACATATTGTAGAGTTCATTCACCTTCCGTTATTGGTTATCGAGAAACGGTTTCTAGTTATCAATAACTCGAAACTAGCAAGGGTTTTGAGAATATACACGCGGTTTGCCCTTCCTAAACGCGTGCGATAAATATTATAAGATTCAAAGAAATATTTAGTTTCTCAAAAGAATATTACACTATTAACCTATGAGAAAATTTTACATACTAAATGTTATTAAATACAATGAGTGTGTAAAAAATAAAGCTAAGAATAAAAATCTACGTATGATGGTACGTAACGAACATAAAATATGTCTTTTACAAACTATTTCAATATGTTTCTTAGTAGTACGAGATGAAATTTTACGAGACATTGATTATACTAGAAGAATATCCTTATAAGTTATACGCTGTCAGGAGTGTTCCCATCTGAACACATTAAATGTATTTATAGATTTAATACGATGTATTTATGAAAATTATTTATGTGTCCAAAATGTATCATGTAATATAGTTTATTCTACTTCCATACTATCTAAGCCAAATTGAAGAAAAAAGTTATACTTGAGTACCTTAGGGAAATTATTATTAGATATTTTTATGATAAGAAATCTCGGTGTGGCCTTACAAAAGCTAGGCACTGCGTCTGAAGTGCTTATACGACAAATATCGGTTTCCTATGGTAAATCTGATAGTGTTTGTGTTATTAAGTCGTTAATCGTTATTAAAGTTCATTACTACACGGTGAAGGAATCTTGACGATGGAAGGATTTGTATTGATTATTGAATTAATTGCACGCGATCACGAGAATTCAACGTTTCCCTGGCGTTCTTATTATACAGCGAAAGCACGCAATATGGATTTACATTGAACCAGTTACCGACTTTTACTTGAGCTAGTCAGTGCTGACTTCAGAATAAACAACTAGTATGCATGGCACTATTTTATGGTCTAGATTTCAAATTCACTAACGGACTAGATCATTTGTGTATAGTGTAAGTATCAAATCTGCGTTCTTTAATTTTTTCCCCCCCTCGGTTTTAAATCATTAGTATCATTTTGCACACCCATCGACAAGCATAAAGATCCGGAGCGATAGCTTGTCGACGTATAAAAATACGCGCGGGAGGGGGACCCACCCTAAAGCCAATCGATAATTCGGCTGCGCCGACCGCACCATCGAATCGAGATGACACATCGCGTGCGGCGGGCCGCTGGGTTGTAAACACGTACGCGCAGCAACGCAGCACGCACACAATGTCATATAAATAGCGTCCGTCGGTCGAGCGATTACGTCGCGCGTGTGTCACCGCGCGGCCGACCGTCCAACCGCGCCGGCAGACGGGTAGGTAAGTATGGCGCGGCGTTGCCAAACGGCGCGCGCGTTCCGTAAATCCGTGTGCGCGTTTCACGAAACGCCCTGGGGCGCGACGGCGCGCGGCCGAAACGAAAAACGAAACGAACGCGCAGTCTCAGTAACGGCCGCGCGATGGGTTAATGTCGCACGTATCGACCTCCTTATTCGACATCTGTGCGAACGAGGAAAAGGCTCAATGTCGCGGCATCTGACTTATGCGACATTGAAGCGAGCGGAGTATGAAAGTGTTTTCGAATGTAAACATATATTACGATTGTAGGCAAAGGGCGTTCGAGGTGCGGGCCATATGGCGGCGGTGACGTCACGCGCGGCGACCTTTTTGGCCGACGAGTCCCTACGCGCCAGCGGAATGTGGTCGGGCGACTCTGCCAAGCGTAGGCAGCAAGCAGGCCGGCGTTGTAATATTTTTTCGCCCGCCGTCCTACCTACATACGTAGAGCGAAAATGTCGTCACGCGGCGTTGCCGCCCCGCGTTGGCCGCGTTACGTGGGTGTTCGTATTCGTAGTGCGGCGTTGTGCGAGAGGCCGCCAACGCGGGCTCGCTTTCGAGAACGGAGTCGACCGGTCCGACCGGTTTCGTATTTATGGAGCGAGTTAATGCACCTACCTAGATATGAATCCCTCGGACGCTTGCGCAAAACACACCGACCGTCGGTGCCGGACACGTACGCGATCGGCTATCGCGCTTTATCGCAACACACGCGTGACTCCGAAACGCTATTTTTACAATGCTAACCCACATTGTTATTGGTAAACAACGGTGTTTCTGTTGTTACATCACAATCGTGATAGTATCGTCCATTGTTTTTTGAGGAATTCGACGTCAGAATTTTTTTGGTCAATTTCATGTTTTAATTGTTGTTTTTTTGAAAATTAAAAAAATACTTTTTAACTAAATCATTAAATTGATGGAAATATGTGTACGTATAGATATGATAACAAAAAAGGGTAAAAATATTTGGAAGATATTAAAAATAATTTTGATTAAAAATAAATATGCATTTATAGAAATCCATGAAGAGAAATATTATTTAAATGCATGAAGATGACAAATTTAATTTATTAATTCATATTATTAAGTTATCAGAAAATAGAGAACAATAAATCAAAGTTCAACACAACCAGTATTTGGAATATTTCAAAAATTCTTCAATAATTTAAAATCCTACTCGAAAAAGTATAGTTTATGTATATCTATAATTATTGTAATAGTGAATAAATACAATTAAACAATTTTAATGTGTGAATATAATAGTTAAAAATATAGTTAGGGAGCCTCAAAGGTGGGCGGGCACGACAAATTTTCTCTCGAAATATGGACTTTTGATGCAGTCGAAAGCAGTGAGAGATGTGATGAAAGTGAAATTATGAACAAAGAACTCACCGTTAGTTTTGAACGAAGACGCGTCGAAGGACGGTGTTCGGAGAGGATGTTTCTCCTGTTTGAAGACTCGTTCGGGCGCGAAGGGTGCCGCCAGGGATACCGCTGGGAGGGACTCGCCGCGGGTTAGTGGAGGTCGCGAGTGCTCCTCAAGAAGCCTCTTCGCCGGCTCGTGATGTGTCGGATGGTCGTCGTCCTCGAGTGGTCGCTTAAGAGTAAGCCCGGGGGCCAAGCGGGCTCCGGCGTGTGTTGGAAGGTGGTGAGAGGGTAAATGTGTCAGCCGCCTTCCTTCGTGCTCTTCTCGCCGGCTGCCGTATTCTGCTAGAAGACCCGCGCTGGGCGTCGGACGAGTGTGATGCAGCGGGAAGCCCGTGGAAGGCGCGTGGTGGGCGGGCGGTGCCGGCTGGCCACGGCCGGTAGACTCGCCCCCATTCTGGTGAGCGTCCAGAGGCGCTCTGTGGGCACCCTTCGCGTGCGTCGGGCCCCTGCCCTCTTGGAAGCCGTGCGCGCGCTTCAACTGCCTCGCGGTGTCCAACACCACCTCTATGCGGTCCGCGCCCTCGTAGTTGACACAGCCGCGGCACACCGCCTCCGAGAACTCGTGCAGCATCGCCCACGGCATGCGGGGCAAATCGCACAGGTAGCAGTGCTGCCTCTTCTGCATCACCGACATCTCGCCGGCCGTCGAGCGGAACGGGAGAGATCGGTTATCTTCGATGGATTTGTAAATTTTCACTGTTAATTCTTACTTGCCGAGGGAAACACTGTCACCATGGTACACGCAAACACTGGTTTCACATACGTATCCGTGGGTGGAGGTGCGCAACGTGCGATTCACGCGGCGTCTAAGCGGGGACTGAGCGGCGAGGCAAGCGGCGGGCGCCGGGGCGCGGCGGGCCGCTATCGAGCGGTGACGTCAGCGCGCGCAGGACGCGCCGTTAGCTGCGCCCGCCCCGCGCCCTTCCCGCGCCCGCGATACGTGCCGCCGCCGAACCATCGGCCGTAATATGCACTCTGAACGTTAATTACACAAACACCGAGCCTCGAATTGTTTCCATGCCGGCCGGAACTGCGGCCGATTTTACCAATCCCATTCCGTAACGCGTCGTGTCATCATAGCAGTTCACAACATTTGATATAATATACGACGCAAATTTCGAAAGCGTGTATGTAAGTATTGGACTACTTTCTAAGCGAACATCGTTAAAATATAATTTGCAAATTCAAAAGATTATTCGGTCGGGGTAAATCGAGATCGTAAACAAAAAATGATTCACCCATCGGCTATAGTTATTGGTGTTTCGGGCAAAATAGCTTGTAGGTAGTTATGACGGTGTTTATTCGTGCGTTGATTTGATGCTCATGCTTTGATCTGTCAGGCGGTCTAGTCAACTGAAACGTTCAGACACGATGATTTCATGCTCAATACATAGGTACAACGTAACTGTCGGGGCGAAGTGAATCACCGAGTCGCTGCACAACCGAGGAGCCTCGATTCCGCTAACAGCGTCGACATTATTCAACGAAAGTAAACAGCTGCCATCGTAGAATAACAATTAGTGTTAACGCGTATAACCGACGCGCTCGATGCATTAAATTTCAATCTATTCTCGCTCGGTTTCCTTTCGGGCTGCATTCTGAATTATTATTATAGCAACGCGGTCGGATCCGGTTGGGGGACGGTGTTCGGGGAGCGGGGGGCCACGGGACCGGTACGGCGGCCATCTTGAGACGTGACGTCACGTGACGAGTCAGTCGCGCGGCGCGGCAACGTCGCGTGCCGCCATGTTGCCAGTTTTTGTTGTGCTTTTACTATATTGGAGTCGCATCGGTTTTTGTAAACGGCTGAGGACCGGGAAGAAACAGTTACGCGACTGACGAGTCAATCGTACATCTCACTACACTTATCCGGCTTCCTTACAGCGTGGTCTTAATTCTTATCAGTATAGTATTCACACATTGATACAGTATTTGGCATTTAAAGAAAATAACCAGTAACAAACAACAATATAGATATAAAGAAGTAAAAACACTGGTGACGTAACTTTTTAGAATTTCCCGATCACTAGCCAACCGGTGTCTAAACTTTAATCTTATGATTCCACAAAGAATAAACAGCTTACAGACGAACTCTTGTGTATAGCATAATGGAGATAACACTTACTTTAAACAAATTCTCTTAGAACTAGTTTTGATCGTTATTCAACTGTCTGTATAGTTAAAACAACAATAATTCAATTTAACCGATAACTGTACAGTCCACTAACAGCAGGAAATCAAAGGGTTGAAGGTAATCAACTCTCTTCATCCTCACCTGCCTTTTGGCAATTTGAAGGTTGCAATCTGGTAACTTGATTTACCTTTGACGTCCGACCCGACGCGGAAAATGGCTAATCAGATTCAGCGATTCTGTATGAATAGCCTGAACTGCGTTAGTGTTACATTTATTCAGTAATATCTTATACCAGCGTCTTCTTCACTCGTGAATCTTTGAAGGGAGAGAAAAGACGTGGTTAAAGAACTGATTGAAATATACGGGTATATTTCTAATCGTAACGGACAAAGGCTATGTATTGTAATCGTCCTTCTAGATCAAAACTTTTCACTTCGATTTCCGTAGAAGAATTTTTTTTTAAATTCAATGTCCCTTGTGGCTCGTATGAACGACAATAACTTTTACAAACCACTTAAATACGAACGTCTAAATGTTAGATGAAATCTCCAAGAATTTTAGAAATTTATACTTAATAAAATTTGGAAGATTTCCGTTGAAGATAATTGTATCTTTTAGTGGAAGATGATTATTGAAAGCTCCCTTTTTTAACATAATTTTATTTTTAGTGCTCTCATTTTTAGAGTCTCTACACTCAAGATGAAAGCTTGTCGACAAAAGCTTTCATCTTGAGTCAAATTTTGTTGAAAAGCTCGAAAAGTTTTTATCTTCAGTCAAAGTCTCAGCGTCGAAAGTTTTTATTGATTTATCTACAAAGACTTAAATTTAAACAGTTCTTTAAACTTGTTTTTATTTGCACACAATCAAAGTATTGCTTCTATACAATCTTTATGGACAAATGTATAATATAGCAACGTTTAGACCGTGTTCGTAGTTGGTTCAGCACGACAGAATGTTAGGTATCAAGATTAAGCTTTTACAACTGGGAATAATTCCTAAGAAAATTATTGTCCATAATACACTTACGCCCGGTTTCTGAAACACTGATCATCGTAGAAATTAGTTAATCAGCTGTCAACTGGTTTTTCAAATGTCATTTGCCAAATGATGTTGTTGCCAAAATGATGAGTAAACTCTCTGAATTGATCAGAATGATCTTAATGATCAGTTCAAAGAGTGTAATCATCCTTTTGGCAACTTATAAGACATTTGAAAATCCATTTGACAGCTGATAAGTTAAGTTCTACGATGATTAGCGTTTCAGAAACTGGACGTTAGCAATTATGAATCCGATAAAAAGAGATATTCAGCGGCAGTAACCATCACCAGCTGACTTGTAACACCGGTCGCGCGGCGGGCAAACTTGTAAACAAGGGACAAAAAACGGGACCTAATCATTGTTTTCAAGAAAAAACTGTTTACCTGCTATTTGGGTTCCATAGACCTTCAGATAACAGATTTAACAGTTACCTATTCAAGCTGAGGGAGAAAGCTTTCATTACTGCTTTGCTGCGTTAAAAATTTAATATAAAAAACAGGCCAAGTGCGAGTCGGACTCACGCACGAAGGGTTCCGTACCATTATTTATAAAAACGGCAAAAAAACAATGTATGCCCCAATTAAATATTTTTTATTCCGTTTTTTAATATTTTTCGTTATAGCGGCATCAGTGATAATTTCACCTTTCGAACTATCACGGGTTCATGAGATACATCCTGGTTACAGACAGACAGACGCACAAACAACGGAGTCTTAGTAATAGGGCCCCCTTTTACCATTTGGGTACGGAACCCTAAAAACTACTCCATATTGTTAATTTTTGAATCGAAACATTGTAAAATCTTCAAGACAACTATGACTAGTTGTCTTGAAGAGTTGACGTGGTGTCAACCACGGTTTTTTTTGTGAAATGTCAAGCGAGCAAGCGGTTCATGATAAGTGATAGATGGCGCGTATGGACATCTGCAATACCCGTAAGTTTGCAAATGTGTTGCTACGTTTCATTAAAGTGCGCCCCAATCACCTCACACACCAGACGAAACGCAGATGATAATTATACATATAATACAAAAATATACAATACAATAATAATATAATACAAATGATATAATACTTCCACTACACGCCGGCGTTCTGTCAACTCGTGGTACTTGACACACTAATACCGAAAGTCTGCACATTCGTGCAAGACCAAAGGCTGTTGCGTAGATACCACTAATAATATACTTAGAGGCCGTCCAATCGCCAGAGGTAGCATAGCAATTTTTTAACCCCCTCCTCCCCTTTGGTGATACGTGGTGAGATTTGTTCCCACTTGTGATATGTCGTGATTTTTGCCAAACCCCCACCACCCCTATCGGGCCTGAATCTACACGAAGCCACATCTATATACGAAACAGAATGAAGTACACGGTTTTCTATGTCTCTGCCGACGTCAATTTGACAGATGGGTGGAGAGGATGTAGTCTATGGGATCGATTGAAAACATTGGGCCACATAAAGGTACGGCCGCGTCACCTTGTGAAAGTTTTATTCAATGCCTCCGGCGCAGACATGTGTTGCTATATCCAGTGTAAAAAGAGGTCGGCAGCTGAATGTGGTATTGCAGTTAAGGCATGGCATTTGGAGACTTGAGATTGATTATTACAGCGTATCTACGATTCTTTTTACATTTCACGGGAACTGGGATCTTTGATCACAGTTTTTTTTTTTCATTTTTTTAAAAAAAACATTACCCTTACTTTGGAGTACGCTACGATTCACGCGGATAGTTGTCTCGTGTGTGAATCGAACCCACGACCCCACACGCCGAAGTCGTAGACTTGGCGACTGCGCCACGGAGTCATCGAAAGTCATCGAAATTTTTGTAAATTATACACTAAAATATTAACCAACTTGACAAGTTGGTTAATATTTTACAAAGGATTAAACTTAAAACAAATACACAAAAATTATGTTCTTTTCAAGAAAAAATATATAATGATTGATCACAGTTTCTGTAAATTATAATATAATATACATATAACTAGGTCTATTCGTGCCTTTTGCGTCAGAAGGTGTGGGTTCGATCCGCACTACTGGAAAAATATTGTGCTAAAAAGCTATACTAAAAAACTGGCAACATTCGACCCTAAACGCCCATTTACACGGTGCCAGTTTCTTGCCTGTTGTATACAATTAAATTGAAGCAATAAATGAGTTGCATGGTCTAAACAACAAATGGTCTTAACAATTATTGCGCGCAATTTATTGCATTCAATTATTGCTCTTGTATGTACAAGAAAATGGTATCGTGTAAATGGGTCTAATTGTGCTTGTATGCATGCGAGACAAGCGTCATCCGTATTGCGGAAGCCTCTAACCGCCCAGATGCGGAATAACCCGCAGTCCATACAAAAGTTTGCCTCGTGGTCGAATCGAGCAAAGAACCCAATAACTGTGCATACATTATTCGCGACTGCAAGTGTGCGCAGAACGCACGAGCGATTGAGCGGTTAGCAGGCAGGAGCGGTGCGCCTGCGTACCATACCCTCCCCCCCCTTCCCCCCGCGCGTGACTGTTCCCCGTTTAAAAGTCGAAACTGCCCTCCCCGCACGTGCCTCGGTTTGTTTATTTACAAGGAGCGGACGTGCACCGCGAAGCCCAGGGGTACGGCCAGTCGGGAAGGATGGGTCGCCGGAGCGGCTTGAGGGGGGGTTTGCGCCGGACGGCGCGGGGTGGATGGGGGGGGGGGGGGGTTTGCGCCAACGCGATACCAGACAGGCCGCGTATCGATTTTGCGGAGCCGGCTTGCAGCGGGCGCGTGTTAGATCGACACAACTGTGTCGCTATGCAGACGAAAAGCTTCCCAGATATTTTCACGCTAGCATACTTTCTGAATAGATCACAGGCATATGAAGATAATAGCAAGTAATTGAATGTGATCCACACTGATGGACATGATAAAAAAAAGTTAAGTAACAGCCTATACATGTCCCACTGCTGGGCAAAGGCCTCCTCTATACAGAGGGTTATTGAGGTAACCGAAGCCCAATATTCAAAAGGTTGTCAACGCATCTGGAACCCTCAGGTGTAGCAGATGTCCATGGGCGGCCGTATTCACTTAACATCAGGTGAACCGCCTGCTCGCTTGACAACTTTTCACATAAAAAAAATAGAAAGCTCCCATTAACTTATGGTTTAAGCATATTATAACCATTGCGGAATATCTCGACGACGCCAATTGTGTGGAGTTAATACTCATGTATATACTCATGTTGATACTCATGTAGGCTAGTATAAGACCATTTATTCGATTATACCTGTATGTTATATTGTAAACTGACACTTTTGAAAAAGAGCAACTGTTGAGTTTCTTGCCGGTCTCTTCGCAACAGAAACTGCTTTCCGAACCGGTGATACCTTACGACCCTATATACAAAATTTTTGATGTAAAATTTGACAATTCATAAGAGCGCGCAAGCGTCTATTTGAATAAATATATAAGGTGCATTCGGCTAATTCTGTAAATCGGGATATTCTGATAATCACAATTCTTATAATGAAATACGGCAATAATTTTGCTCTGGCAACGTTCACCTAGCCGCCATCCTAATACGCTTCCCCACTTCAGTTGATTCAGGTAGCTGTGAGCGAGTGCATGTGTTCAACGCAACATTTCTATGATTGAGAGCAATTTCCCGCCTTTTTAGGATTATCAGAATTACCCGAACATTCGTAATAAAGAAACCTAGAAAGTTATTTAACTAATTGTTTTTAATACGAAAATTTTTTGTTTTTATGCACTTCTTATGCAGGTTTTGAAAGCTCTATCTCCACTTATTTTGCTTTTTTGGGGATTAGCCGAAGAGAGTAAATCCGAATTATGGAGAATTCGGATTTACCCGATAGTGATTTTCTCTAAGAAAAGTCAGTGGTTCTAAATATTTTAATTCTTGTTTGTTTAAATGGATTAGTTTATTTTCAAATTGGTGAGTCTGAGTGACTATTTTCGGCTTCATGATTTTTGAATATAACCAATTCTTTGGAAAGTCAAGATTACGTTATCAAAAATGTGACTCGAATTGTCTGTAGTTTGCAGAAAGAGCACACTGTGTGAATTTTTAAGTTAATGTTTCGAACTGGGTAACAATTTTTTTTATTTTTTTTAGTTATATTTATTTTGCCACTCAGAACTCAATTATGCTTTGAATCATTTATGTTGGATCTCAATAATTCCATTATTTTACTTTAAATAAAACTTTCATACTTCTTAGTTTTTCACTTTATTTCACATACTTTATCATTTACCATGGTCCCTAAAGTTTGGGAACCGTAGACCGAACTTGCACTAAATATCGAGTAATTCTGAAATATAAATGTCACATAAGTATGTTTAAGCTACTCAGGGGATAGTAGGGAACAATATATTTTGTAAGGGTAAATGAGGACGAAAAAGAAATATGTATCTTTTGTTACAGCTCAATAAAATTCAGTTTTAAATGTCATTCAGAATTACCCTAGCATACTTCGGAGTTGCACTTACACAACAAAAAAAGAATCTAATTTTGAAATAGTTTTATTGTAAAATACTGAGGATATTAATAATAGTCATTGGAATAATGTTTTAACATGTATATTCAAGTAAACTATGCGACCTTATTTGATAGCATTAACTACACCAATTCTGACTGGTAAACGAAAATTCTAACATACCGTCAACTATTCTCAAATCGTTTCGTAAATACCCGAATGCACCTTATTATATATATATATATTTATTGATTTTGAATGTGCTAATCTCAGAACTTATTCGGACGATTCTTTTTGCGCTTTTACAGGTCGGTAATTGAGAAAGGTTCAAACTAATTCACGTCACAATGTAATGTGTATGCTATGTATAAGGTAATGTATGTAGCAAATTCGCCTGTCGTTGTAAAACGTCGTTGGCAGACGTGGGGGCGGCGAATTCAAATTTAAAGGGAGCCAAAACAGGTAGACGTGGCTAGTATAATACTACCTATTATACGTTTAATCCATATGGGTGTTGGTGTTGGGGAATATTTACCTACTTGTTTCGCCAAAACTGAACCTTGCAAAAATTTTGGTCTGTTTTATGTGACGGAAACCATATAACTGAAGCGTGTATTAGATATATTCAAATTTATAGGGGGAAAAAAAGTAAATTAACAGCCTTTATAAATATGTCCCACTGTTGGGGAAAGCCTTCTCTGTACAGATAGTATTAGGCCTTAGTCGACCACGCGACGCTATCGCGGATTGGTAGACTTCACAATTCTTCAAAAATTATATGTTACTAGCGACCCGCCCCGGCTTCGCACGGTTGCATTGTATTATACATTCTTGAATCACTCTATCTAATAAAAAAAACCGCATCAAGATCCGTTGCGTAGTTTTAAAGACACTAAGGGTATAGGGACAGACAAACAGCGGGACAACTTTGTTTTATACTATGTAGTGATATAGTAATTGTCATTATCCGACATCGTCTAGCGTTGTTTAGAGAGCTAAGCAGACTATCCTTTTTCTCTTGCACTGTATGTTTTGTACCGTTGATATATTGGCCCAAGAAATGTTTCAATATAAGTAAATTTCATATGTTAAGAGATTTTTTTTATGTGAGAAGGTGGCAAGCGAGCGGTTCACCTGATGTTAAGTGACAACCGCTGCCCATGGACATTTGCAACATCCGTGGGGTTGCAGATGTGTTGCTACCGCTTAGTAAAGTAGGCCCTCTTACATTATCAGCAGAAGATTCCTCAGGTTTAAAGATTATCTCTTACTTAGTTATAGAGCGAATTATTTCCAAATTAGGTGGCCGTTACCCTGTGGGATGATTGTTTTAGAAGCTGTCGTGCCAGTCGTTTTGAGTGACGCTTTCTCCTAGCGTCCGTCTCACTCCCTCTTCGACCATGAGTGTATCACCGAGCTGGTTGTAAAGTCAAACGGTGGTAGGGCCACGCAGCAGCCTCGGCTGTCGCACGAATGTGCAGGCTCGTCCGGGTAAGTACTACGACCTCACAGAAGAACGGCGTAAAGTGGAAGTATAATACTTTCGCGTTTCTTCTGGTGAGTGAAAGTTTGGCAATTTTTCACATAAAAAAAACGATATTACGAAAAGCTCGCGCATAGACGTTCATAAACCTACCGTACACACATTGACATATGTATACAAACACACATGTATGTTTATTAATTTAAAATCTTTTTATAAGAGTTTTTAACCACAGAAAAGATTCGACTATGCACATCGGTGAAGAATATTATTAATATCCAATAATTTACATCTAAACTGGATTCCATTTACTTACATCATTCTCTACCAATGCATTATTAGGCTGTGATTATATTTTTGGTCAACGTAGAAACTCCGCAGACTATTCTGCGGAGTTTCTACGTTGACCATGTCTATACATTAGATAGTTCGCACGCTGGGCAGGGATGAGATAGCTATTAGGCTTATTCTGAATAAAGTTCGTTAGAGCTATACAACTTAGGGGTGGAGTTGGGGTGTTTTCAGCCCCGTCTTTTAGGGTACATATCGCGTATAGCATGCGGGGAACTCATCGATCGGCGTGCGGCGCATGCTCCCTACGCGGGAGCCACGTGCCCGTGTTTATTTACATGCAAACGGGCACCGGACAAATACTATTGCGACGTAGTAAGTATGCAATATATTGTCCATTGTCACGAATACTAGTATGGTATACTAGTACACTGGTTGTAAAAAAAACACGTCGTCAGAAGAGATCGTACAGGGTACGTTTAGGGTTCCGTACCCAAAGTGTAAAACGGTACTCAGTTACTAAAACTCCGTTGTCTATCCGTCCATCTGTCACCAGGCTGTATCTCATGAACCGTAATTGTTAGATAGTTGAATTTTTTTCAGATGATGTATTTCTGTTGCCGCTGTAACAAAAAATTTAGTATTTAATAAAACAGAATTAAAAAAAATATGTAAGTGGTTATGTCATGTTATTTTTTTGCCGTTTTCATAGATAATGGTACGGAACCGTTCGAGCGCGAGTCCGACTCGCACTTGACCGGTTTTTAATCCATCACCCGACGTTGTATGTTTATTTGTGGACATTTGCGTTTGGCCGTAGAAGTGATAATCATTCATAGGACACAGAGCTTGGGGCTTCTTACTTGATAGATATTATTTAAGCAGAGTTGCGCACGTCGTCGTCATTGACGACTACAGACCGTCAGGGTTTGGCATGCGTATCCTGGCCTTAGGTGAGGACCACCGCGCACGGACACTAATAACATAACACATGTTCCATGCATATAGCTAGCCATATACTATAGGTGGCTACCTCACTCACCGGACGTAACCCACTGGAATGATCACGAGATACTTCACGCAGATTTTCTTTGAAGAAGCGGTAGTCCCCTATTCGTGCGGCTGGTTCCATTATGGAGCTTGTCTTTGATGTACTAAAGTAAAAACATATTTATTTAACCGGTAAAGTAAGTAAAAATATCTCCTAAAATTTAATATTTATATTTTATTAGCTTTTCGCCCGCGGCTTCGCTCGCGTTGGAGCCCTTAAATATCTTTCTTTAAAAAAATATATTATTCAATTAAAAAATGCTCTAGACTATCTGTGTACTAAATTTCATTTAAATCTGTTCAGTACTTTTGGCGTGAAAGCGAGACCGACGGACAGAGTTACTTTCGCATTTATAATATTAGTATGGATTACCAACATACTTTTATTTCTCTGCTTTACTTTTCAAAATTACCCCTACTGTAGGATAAGATAATCCTGTATTGTAGCAAAAAGTACTACGAATCTGTACCATAATGTGGTATTCTTTTTTTTTATGTGAGAAAGTGGCAAACGAGCTGGCGGTTCACCTGATGTAAAGTGATAACCACCGCCCATGGACATTTAAAACACCCGAAGGGTTGCAAATGCGATGCCATCTTTAAATACAGTAGGCCTCGGCTACCTCACTGACCACACGAAACACAGAAATTTATTTCTACTTTGCGCTGGTCTTCTATGAGGTCGTCCCATTCCCATTCGTGCAACAATGAACACTGTTGTTGGCGTGGCCCTACCACCAGATATCTAGACATTTCTTAGATTTTATCAAAATTCCTCCACGACACCTGTTTTACCTTTCTTACGCGTTTTTAGATATTTTACGCCTCATCTAGCCTCGCCATAAGCGCTGACACAAGCTTAGCGTAAGACCAAACTAATGTTTTTCCGCGAAATGCAAATTGTACCGCCGCACTAATGGTTTTAACCTTTAAATTCGTCCGCCAATCGGCCTCGATTCCAACCGAGGTGATAATGCGCGGCAATCGGCGCTTCGCCCCCGTTCGGAAACGACGCGGAAGCGACCTCCGCTTTCGGGGGGGCCTGTTGTGACCTCAGCACAGGCGGGGAGGTAAAGGCTTGCACAGCGAGTCACCTCGTGTGTTGTGCCTAAAATGTACAAGGTTTTCTAGCCTGCTCATGAGTATTTGACTTGTACGAGACTTTGCCCTAATACCCTCTGCACAATCGAGGCCTTTGCCGAGCACTGGCACTTTACTTTTACTTTAAGGATAATTTATAATGAAATTCAATAGCCTATACGAAAGAGTTGCAAGTTCAATTTGGTACTATTTTAATATATTACATTGAGCGAAAGAAACGCCGAGTGAACTAATCTAGTGACCGCTCGAGGGGGCACCGGTAACTCGCTGTTTACTAAACTAAGGGGACACTGATCACCTATTTACCCTCACCCACGAAAAGCTTTCACGCTATTAAATACCCACCCACATAGCTCCATTGACGATCAATTACTCAGGGAGAAAATACCTTGTAGTAATTATGCCTTTATGTTACGCGTGTATTTAATCTCGGGGTCACAGAGTAGCGTTAAGGTGTGCCCTGTTTGTCGTAAAAGGGGTCTAAAAGAGGACACTGGGTTCAAGGATGATTGCAATGGGGTACTTAAGTGGACCCGTTAAAGGTCATAAACAGAAGTGGTCGTGTAGCCTTGTAGCAGTAAGGGTTTTGAGTGAGGTTTATCCCTATATATATAATTAAGCGTTGCTATTTTTGAAAATCCGCGTTCCTAGTATTAGCTTTACTTTATTGAGCAAAGAAGGTAGAAATATAAATAATTTAATCGAAGCACCGTAGTTTAACTTTGTACAACAATAAAAGTGGTATAATTACTTATTTTCACTTTTAGACTAAGGATTTAATTTGTGATACTGATCGGGGAGCACTATCGCTTGTTGACAACCAAAAAGACCATTAAATGCTTCGTGCAGTACAGCTTCATTTATACCACATAGAATGACACTACCTTTAGTGTTGCCAACATTATGTCGCTTATATATCTCGTACAATACTACGTTAGGAATGTCTGTCTACGTCTAGTCAGATAGATAAGTCATTTATATGATTCGTCCATCTGTATTTTAGTTAGTGTCTGTTACAAAAAGTTTAAAATACAGCAAGCTCAAGGTGTGAGCACACACAGACGTTACGTCACTTCTACTGCGCCGGCGTAAACAAGTAGTTGCGTACATGTTTTTTTTTAATTAAAATAAGGTGACTAACCAGTTACTCGTTTTCCTATTAGTAAGTGATTACTGCAGGTTATCCAGCAGGGACCTAGTGTTAATGAGTGTTAACCAGTGCGCGTTGCCTTTATGACATTGGCCCTCGCTTACCTCACCGGATGACGGGAAGTACAAATGTTTCTTTACGTCGAACTACTGTATAGCCGTGGTAGTATCGGTGCCTATGCCCTCTGTTGTGACGGCCCATTCGTGCTGCAGCAATTTTTGTGAAAACGCATGTCTCTGCCGCAACGAAAACATCACTACGATAAAGTTATTTAAAGCAACTTGAACGCTACAGATTCTTGAAAAATAAATCTCAAATATTATTTGAAATACAGAACGGCAGTCTGAAGTAATTATCGCAATGAGTCTTGATCACGGAAGGGATTTTAACGCCACCCCTCGCTAAGCCCATGCACCCCCGAATGATTTCGGCCACGAAGACAAAGGCGAAAACAATTACACCGAACCGCCTCACCGTTCTCCGCCATGGAGGCATTTATGGGGCCCCTTTGATGATCGCCCTCGGCATTCAATACATGAAAGCTGCGTTACAAAGGCCGCACAGTATGTTACATCATCCTGTACATGCCGCCGGGGCTGTGGAGGGTCGCTATTGATTTGTGACGTCACCCGCCGTCCCCGGTCTTGTATGAGGGCGGGGATTTAATGCGTCTGTCGGGGAAACTTGGTGGGGGTCTAGCTTAAAAGCCTTTTACGATCCGTGGTATTGTATAGCTTTGCGCAAGGGAATTTCAATAAAGTACCTTTGCGCTCGCCAAGTGTTGGCATACTATGTATGGGTGCCAAACTCTAATTGCATCGTGGAGCTGTGAAAATTAAACCGAGTTCACTAATACAATAGCTCACTCATTATATGTTTTCTAGTTGATATTCAGGAGTTCCCATAATTATCTCCGATATCAAATGTCCAGTATGGAACCTCTATAAGATCATGTATAGGAGAATACACCGTGTACAAATTGTTTAAAACGTTTACAAAAGACAACATTCATCAGACAACAAGATGTTACAAAAAGAAAAAAACAACAGGAATGGGAACCTCCTCCGATTGAATAAGGTATTAAATCAATAACGTCAACTGGTACAAATTATATTGACCCAACCGAATCACGAAACAGTACATAGAAATCTATACTCTCTACTATTGGTCACCCAACCTTAAATAATTATTTTGCTCAGTGATTCAATTACTATAAAGGGTGTTTCGTTAACCAGTGACTTTTATTTCAGTCTGCTCAATAGATTTCAACAGAAATATAATATGATCAGGAAATGTAGACTAATGCACCGAAAGAGTGAAGGAGGGTTATTTTACATTAGCGATACACCTATCTAAAAGTATCAATATGAATTTAAGAAATATCACGTACCTAAAGCCCAAGACAACTGAAAATCATCAATATATGTATAGGAAAGGGGTTTGGGGCATCGCGGTAAAGTAAAAAAATTAAATTTAATAATTTTGCTGCATCAGTGGAATATTGGCGAGATATTTCAAAAGAAATACACTTCGTTCAACATTATGTATTTATATTATAAGTATTTCCATGTCCACATATTATATATACAGGATTCACGAGTATTTCGGACACATTGCCGATAATTGCTTTACATGTTTTTGAGATTACGGTATTTGCCCAAAATGAACAAACCGAATGCCCATATGTCTCTATTACAATGAAATTAAAAATACTAAAGAAATAAAAAAACTTTTAGTTTATTAATAAAAATCATTATTTACAAATTGCAGTGCATTATTGGTTTTTGGATTTTTTTTTATGTGAAAAGTTGCCAAACGAGCAGACGGTTCACCCGATGGTAAGTGAATACCGCCGCCCATGGACATCTGCCACACCCGAGTGTTACAGATGCGTTGACAACCTTTTGAAAATTGGGCTCCGGCCACCTCACTCACCATACAAAACGCGAAAGTATTTGTTATACTTCCACTTTACCCTGGTCTTCTGTGAGGTCGTGGTACTTACCCGGACGGGCCTGCCCATTCGTGCAACAGCCGAGGCTGCTGCGTGGCCCTACCACCGTGGATGAGCAATTAGCAAGCTTGTAAGATTGGGTTCATTCAATTGTGAAAACGTTCCTTGCGATGTGCAATGAACGTTTGTGAATAAATGTTCTTCAATACAACGATATTTAGAATACAATAACGGATTGAAACCGCAGAGAAAGAAAAAAGAATGAAAATAGCAGTCGTCAGCAGAATAGACACCACCCCTTCCACAGGGAGACGGGGGTGTACTGTGGGTCGTTAGTTGAAACCTACGCCTAGAGCGGGAAAATTTTAAGGGATCCGGTGTACGTCGCTCCCCTCTCATTCGTGTCACAGATATACGTATAGCTTGATGAGATCGTGATTCTGGTGGATTTATTACTAATGGGATAGGATTTACTAACAACATAGGTATATCTAATGTCTCTTTTAAATGTCCGGAATATAACATGATTTATTACGGCTCTAATTAACATCCTCTATTTATTCTACAGCTAATGATAATCTAAATTAATTATGCCTCAAGTATTTTCCAACGATATCGATAATTATTATCTATACATTGTAACGAAAATCGTAAGCACTAACCACATGGTCAATGACAATATTTTCGTAAGTAAATTTTTGTAAAGTTTATTTAAGAAAAATATATTTTGAACTACTTGTTTTGGAGGTATTTATATACATAACTAGCTGTGCCCGCGACCTCGTCCGCGTGGAATTTTAAATAAAAAAAATCTAAAATAAAAGTAGCCTGAGTTAATCCTTATTACATCAGGCCGTTTCAGACATTAGCCGGAACAAACAGACAGACAAATAGACAGACTAAAATTGTAAAACATGTTATTTTGGTGTATATACCGAGTATACATCCACATGCATTTAGTAAAAAGCGGTTATTTCAATATCAGACAATCCAATTTTATCTGTATAGATATATATTATGTTTACAAAAATTTGGCCTTTGACGAGTTTCCGTTTGCGTAAAAGGAAGTCATTCGCGTATTTATACTAAACCAACAATTACGACTTCAACGCGAGATTTATTTATAAAATAGCGCCGTAATTCATGCGCGTGGGATTAAATTGCCATTGCAATGTATTGTGTGGTAGAGAATACAAAACCTAAAGGGTTTTTGTATACTCTATCTTCACAGAAGACAGACGTCAAATTCATAAAAACTATAAAGACTTGTAAGAGTTCAAACGGCGTCTACGATGGTGCGGTGCCATTTCGCGATATCAAGGTGATAAGGACGTGACATATAATTAAGAAATTATTCGATCTATGTTTAGAAAAGTATATATAGCGATACAGACATAGGATACTGAGAGCTAGTTTATTATCCAGGCCCACAGAAGCATTACAAAACATTTATTAACGAGCTATCGCTTAGAGAAGAGTAGCGGTAACAGGAAGGCGCCCTGGGAGCACCGCCCCACGAGTTCTAGACCTATCGTAACGTTCGCGTGTCGTTTACCTCAGACCATGCAACGCGGGGTGACGTGTAATCTGCCCGGCTATCGATTGGCGTCGGGGCGGCGGGGCGCGTGCGCCGGCACATCGATTCGACGGCGTCCGCCGTTGCTTCAACGCGCTCGGAAACTACGCCGCAACAGACAGACTCGGTGGATGTAGTCATAGATATATCTAAGGCTGGTGTCGGTTAACAACTCTGCAGTGTAAGATTTGGCGAGAGTAGATTCGTTTATTTTGTGTCTTAACTAGAGGGACACAATCTGAATGGTGTGAGCATCTTTAGATTTTTGTTGAAACACATTAGGCAAACATTTGGAACATTAAATCGCAGCATAGACGGCCAGCGCACCATAATGCCAGTGACGTAAATAAAATAAATTTGGGATTGTTTGTTTATACTATTAAAACAGTCTTAAAGATAAATTATATTATGAAATTTATATAATTCGAATATAGATTTACAATGAAAAAATAAAATGTAAGCTTAAAATGTTTGTAGGCTTAATTTTTCGGAATCTAACAAAGTAACACTTTTAAAGGATCTTGATATTTCCAATTCCGAGTCACTGTGCGTAAATCATTAATCGAAAATACACAAGCTGTTTTCCCAACTTAATTGATAGTTAGGCCCAAACAGGAACGACTATTACGACTAACAGGAGCAAAAAAAACAACAAACAAATTTATGAACATTATTATTTATGTGAGAAGATCGAAAATCAACATTCAAAGGACTGTATCGATTGTGTTGGCATTTGAGAAAAGTTTTGGCCGAAGTATTAAAATTTTAACTAATATTAGGGCTAAAACGATTGAGGTATTTTTTTACATAAAATTCGGTTGGATACAGTAGAGTCGTCCGAAGGTATGAAGGGGGGAGGAGTTAATTCGTGTAATTCCAACACACTGTAAATTCAAATATATATAAGAATCCGAAATACTGGCTACCCAGGCTTTAACTAAATTAGGGTCATTAATTGGCCCCTTCGCACACATCTCATTGAGTCCAAAAAGAAGCTATAGATGACCGGACTTGCAGGTTAGAAGATATATCGATGTAATCAAAGTCAAAGTTAAAGTCAAAGTATATTTATTCAATACAGGCTTAACTTAAGCTCTTATTGAACGTCAACAAAAAATCTACCACCGGTTCACTAAACTAGACCTGCATAGAGAAGAACCGGCAAGAAACTCTGCGGTCTTGTTCTTTTTGTTATTTTTATTTTTTGATGCAATTATACAAACTTATTTAAGTATAAAATCAGCAGCAGCCGAGGGTCTTGCAAGTACAGAGCAAAAGTTATTTCCACACATCCTTGTCCTCAATGTATTCTGGGACATTATAGTAGGCCCTTTCCATTAAGGTAGCTTTTACAAATTGGTTGAAATTGTTTATACTTAGTTGTTTGTGGATGTCACCTATTTTATTATAAAAGTTGAAGCATCTACCAAGAAACGACTTTTTGGTTTTAGCCAGTCTAAACCTCGGTACTTCCAGAGAGGGGCCGTAGTGACGCCCAGACGCGATGAGGATTGTTTTATCGTAAATAGGCGGAAATTGTTACGTACATACATGATGTTCTCAAGTATGTAAAGCGACGGGAGCGTTAAAATATTTATATGCCTGCTTTTGTAATACAAATATCGTGTCTAAACCGGATGCGGAACCCCAAAGTAATACACCATATGACATTATGCTGTGAAAATAAGCATAATAAACTAATTTAGCTGTTTAGTCGTTAGTAAGCTGCCTGATTTTGCGTATGGCAAAGACGGCATGGAGTCAACGCTTATTCCAAGAAATGCTGTTCAAAGAAATGTACTTGTAATGTCTACCAAAGATTTCAATTTGTAGGAGGCCTATGTTCAGCTGTAGACTAAACCAGGTTGGAATGATGATGATAATTTCTTCTTAGTCTTATTTATATCTTAGGCTTTATTTCTGCCAAAATTTTAATAGGTTTGGAAATCCTTTACGCATTTAGGTCTAAATAAAGATCATATTTAACACTGGCTTTTACCAACACATAATCTTACCTGACCATTCCGTTTCGAATGGAACAGTTAACGACAACTGAATATAAGCATTCCATGTGTTAATCCAGGGTACGTGTAAGCTATCTGTTTCTTAATTTCGTTCACATACGTTTTGCTGGTTCGGTGTGAAGGGCGAAGAAATACATGTATACGTGCTTTTGCATTGCAAAGAATTTGAATGCTTCGAGCCTTTATACGATCGACCAGGAAAAATTCCAAGCTGCTTCCCGCTAAGTTCGTAATGCCCGTAGTATAAAGTCAATAAAGGAGTTTTAAGTTCCTCCCTCCTCTTAAAAGGCGGCTTCCCCGAGGTGACCCAAAGCGCCGAGGCGGCCCGGGGATCGATGCCAGCGACCCGCGGGACCCTTGGCCCGGTTCCACGTGACCCGGTCTTCGCGCCCGTCTCGCCCCGGCGACCCGCCATGCATTCAGATCAACGCCGTCCCAGTATGCGAAACGTTACTTCGACACAGGATGATGTAACGTAACAGAGAAAAGGGCCTCTTTTTTTTAAAAAAAAAAAAGGCGCCTGACAATAATTGGTATGACATATAATAAACTAGGTTTTCGCCCGCGGCTTCGCTCGGGTTGATTTCTAAGGGAGAGGAGTTACTTGAGCACTTTTCCAAGCTTCGGGAAACTTGAATGAAGAGATTGATGCGTTAAGGATATGGGTGATAATGGGAGTAAAAAAGTCAAGAATGGGTAAAATCATATTACGACTATCGTTGTCATCACCAACGGCATTGGACGAGATTGATAATATGTTCTTCAGATTTGTGAATGTGGCGTCGTTGTGCATTTCTAAACAATGTATTGCATGGATTGCGCACTTTATTATAATTTAGCAGATTTTTATGAGAATGACCAGGTTTCAACTTGCTTTTGGCAAAGCCTTTTTTCTTAATAATGTTTTTAAGATCATCTGTTAACCACGGCGCAGGTAAATGTTTTATTTTTACAGGTTTAACGGGGGACATGCACGTCATAAAGCTGTGTAATAAACGAATTAAACAATTTTACTTTCATGTCGACTGTAGGAGCATAAGCAACAGCAGACCAATCAATGAGCCGAGCATCTTCAATAAGACGTTCTTTATCTACTCCACTAAAACTACGCTGCAGGAGGATTCTCGATTAAACTCTTGTAAATTATTCCGTCTTCTCCCTCTATTGGCCTCATCAAATAGGCATGTAGTATTTGTTTTTGTCATAAGTGTACTATTACGTTTGTAATACGTAAATGTGAACTATTAATTGTATTTGAGAATTAAATATCGTATCTGTAAGCCACGCCTAAGTTAAATTATAGAAGGTGTTGGTCGGCTTGTAGTGGGCAGGCACGTTGGCAAGGTATATCATACGCATAAGTTTCAAAATCGGTAGGGCTTCTTAACGTGTTAGGTCCGAGGAACATATTTAGCTGTTGCACCAACAGATAGGCTATTCCGGTGAAGTTAGGGCAGGCGTGAGTTTTATGACTTTTTGAATTAGTAATTAGTAGTGGCCTTCACAAGGGCGGGGCACAGCCATGAAGTACGATATTATGTGTAAAAAAAATCGATGATTTATTAGGTGCAGCGGTCAAAATTATCTGTGGTAGGGCCACACGACACTTTTCTCTGTTGCACGAATGGGCAGTTCAGTCTGGGTAATTACCACGACCTCGCGTAAAGTAGAAGTGTTACTACACTTGTACTTACACTTCTGCGTTTCGTCTGGTGAGTGAGGTAGCTGAAGCCAACTTTGCCACTTTTTCACAAAAAAAGTATAATATCATCGTAAATTTTGTGTAATATCTGTTGAACCGCCGCACCTGTTCGCTTGCCACATTCTCGGATAACGGAAAAGCATTTAACCTTGCTTCATCTCAAATCTTGACAGTAAACTTTTACACTGTAAGATATAAATAAACTTTTATTACAGGTGGCATCTATTAAAAATTTCGTTAAGTAAATTGATCGTAGGAAACAAGTAGCCGGGATGTTCATCGCTATCATTAAGCTTTATTAATACACCTGTACTTTTTATATATCACTTTCGTTTGGGCAATAGCCGTTATTATAGCGACGAAACGAACGGCCGGTACACCGAAAATCGTTAGCCGAACTCACGGCAGCTGCTAATTAGCGAACAGGTGATGGCCGCATTTATTGGGCTTTTTAAATTTTTAAGCACGGGGGGAAACATTCGTCGACGTCGTTTATTATGATTGGATCGCTAAGTGCTACATTCCAGAATGGTGCGTACAGGCGAAAAGGCCTAGACGGTCTATCCATCAGGAACTGTTATTTGTTCGGGAATCGAAATTTCTATATGTTGAAGATCAGCTGGTTTTACACGTGAGAAAAACTGACCGGGCTCGGTAAGCAGTTGGCGGTTCCCCAGATCTTAAGTGGAGTTACCAACGCCTATAGAATATATTTTAACGGTGGTAGGTTCACGCAGCAGTCTCGGCTGTTGCACGAATGGGCAGGCTCGTCCGGCTAAGTACCACGACCTCACAGAAGACCAGCGTAAAGTGGAAGTATGTCAAATACTTTCGCGTTTCGTCTGGTGAGTGAGGTAGCCGGAGCCCAATTTTCAAAAGGTTGTCAACGCATCTGTAACCCTCGGGTGTGGTAGATGTCCATGGGCGGCGGTATTCACTTAACATCAGGTGAACTGTCTGCTCGTTTGACAACTTTTCGCATAAAAAACGTAGAATACTGCAACACCTGACCGGTTCTTGATGGTTGCTGGCGTCAACGACTAAAAAGTGATTGTCGGTGTCTATACTAGTAAGCACTACGGTTGAGCCAAGGATGGCGTCTGCTGATCGATAAATGGACGGGCTTGACCTTATACGACGGTGCACAGATCACCGGCGTGAAGCGGAACGCCTGTTTTTACGCCGGCCCAGTTATACTTGTACCTTTCGAAAAGTGGAGAGTTAACTGTATGTTGACCTACTCATTTAAAGGACGAAAACGCACCAGCGAATCTTCTTTTGCTGTGGCTGTATTTTTTCTTTCACAGCGCTGATCACTATCAATGACGCAGGCACCTGTATGTTTACCGCAATAGATAAGTAATAGATAGAATAAGAATCGAAAAAGGTTGTGATTTTTTTTAAATTT